GTATTTTGTATGAAAAAAAAAAAAAAAAAAACAAGTGTCTTCTTGGGGTTCCTCAGGTTGAGGTGGGGAATGAGAGCAAATCATTCTGGAGGAACGCAAGGGAAAATGGCTTTAGATACTTGGGTGACGATAGAATTTATTCTCATAATTGTTTTAATAGCTTTTGTATAATCCTCATCGCTATTATGAGATATAAAATGTATTTATCAAATCTGTAATCATTATGCCAAAAAATCTGAATTACTGTAATATTTTGTATATTGTTAAAACTAACTTTAATTGTAAAAAAAAAATTAAAAAAAAAAGCTAGGTAACACGATTTATTAATATTCATAAAAATGATTATCTCTAAAAGTGTATCTTTTACATTTATATAATTCTAATAATGAAAATTTAAATTGTAATAGATATTTGAATTTCATCTTTAAGTAGATAGCTGCTTTTGAAATTAAATCACAGGACTGAAAATCATTTGCACCTTCCTAAAGATAGTATGCAAATTCTTGATTTTTTTTTTAAGTAACATTTTATTTGATGTTTTATTGATGTCTGTCATTGTATAAAATAGTATATTTAATTCTGACTTTCATATTTTCATACACATAATGTACTTTGACCATATTCACACACAAACACACACCCCACCAGCACAATGCCTTCTTTTTACTGATTATGTTCATCACGTTGCTCTGCACAAGTCCTCTGCCCATTTTGTTTTAAATTTCACACGAGTACTGTATTTACATCATTTCCATCCCTCCGTCTTTCCCCATCTCTAAAATCATGACCCCTTCTGTAATTATTTTTACACATATACAACCCACTACGTATGTGTATATATGTATATATGTGTGTGTACATATATATATATATATACACACACACACAAAATAAAACCTACTGAGTTTATTTAGTGTTGCTTGTAAATCCTTGTGTTTAGGGCTCACCACTTGGGATTGGATAACTTTCAGGGGGCTCATCCCTGGAGAAAATGGATTCTCCCTCTCTCAGCAGCCATTGATGGCCTGTAGCTCTTCATCTAGGGGTAGGGTAGAGCCTTGTGAAATTTTCCCTATGCATGTTAGCATGCTGACTGATGTCACAATGCAAGTCTTGTTTGGGCAGTCATTGTTGAATGGTTTTTTTTTTTTTTTTTTTTTTTTTTTTTTTTTTTAAGACAGGTCCTCACTATATAGCCCTGACTGGCCTGGAACTCATATTAGGCTAGTCCAGGCTGCCTTTGTTGCCAGAGTGCTAGGATTAAAGGCATGTGGCACCATACTTGGTCCTGGCTCTTACATTCTTTCTGCCCCCTCTTCCACAGATATTCTGTGAGCCTTGGGTATAGGAGTTGCATTGCAGATGTGCCAATTAGTCACTTATTCTCTGCATTTTGACCTTTTTTGGATCTCTGTAATAGCCTTCATCTGCTGAAAAAGGAAGCTTATTTGGTAAGGGATGAGAGCTACACTTACCTGGCTAGGCTGGTGTGCCTGATTTTTTTGGTTGTTTTTGAAAGTCCTTGAACATGGAAGTGGTCAGAATTGGGAAGGAGTTTGAGGGATTCCTTTGGAAGATCATGGACAGTCTGTCTACAGGTCATGGAAGAAATCTTTAAGGATGTGTTTTGAGTTAGTCCTGGCCATGGTGTTACTGGAGTTAGGCTCAGAAGCCTTTGCCTTGGGCAGCCCTAACAAGCCAGGCTCAGTTCTTTATCTTCCTTAAGTCAGTTAAAAGAGCCAGTTGAATAGTGAAAAACAGAAAACGGGGATTTATGCAACGTCTCCACATTGGGAAGTGGGACAGAGAGATCTAGCAACACCTCAAGTTCATATTTAGAGTGCATGAGGGTAAGGTTTAAGTAGAGGGCCAGAGTTAATGCATAACTAAGCAGTCTCTGTCAAGGTGTGTCCAGCCCATCTTCGATCTGTTATTGACTGGGCTTCAAGTCTCATCTTGTAAGATGGTCTGGCAAGTTAGAAGTATATGAAATTGTGTTTATTTTTCCAGCATGAGATTCCTGGGGCAATGTGAATTCTTTTTGATCCATTATTTTAGTAATCTTAGAGCCAAAAGGAGGGATGTAAGTGCATCTTTATGATATTCTCTTTCCTGGGCAAGCAAGATCAGTAAAGGCACTCTCCACCAAGCCTGATGACCTGAGTTCAATCCCCAGGACCCACTGGGTGAAAGGAAAGAACTGACTCCTGCAAGTTGTTCTCTGACCTCTATGTGTACATACACAAACACAAGCACACACAATGTAATAAAGCACTCTCGTTCCTTATAGGCATGCATGCCAGATATAGTGATGGATATATAAATAACCAGAGCCTAGCCAGTCTTCTCTCCCCTTCCCACTCATTTTGCTTTTATTTAAAAATTAAAAAAAATATTTTTATGTATATGAGTGTTTTGCATATATGTAAGTGCACCCATGTTGTGCAGTGCCCATGGAGGCCAGAAGAGGGTGTTGGATCCCCTGGGAATTACAAATGGTGGTTAGCTGCTGTGTGGGTACTGGGAACTGAACCCAGGTCCTCTGCAAGAGCACCCAGTGCTCTTACCCACCTAGGCCAGCTTTCCAGCTCCCTTATTTTGTTTTGCTTTTGAGATAGGGTTTTCCTCTGTAGCCTGGAATATGTGAGTCTTACATTGGGTACTGTGTCTGGCTTCAGATCCTGCCTTGCTTTCCTCCCCACCTACCCCCTTTGTTTTTTTGCTTATACTGGAGACTGAATCTAGGAGACTTGAATAGCTAGTTTTTCTAGTTTGCTTTCCTGTTGCTATGATAAATAAACACCACCTAAAAGCAACTTGAAGAGTAATGGTTTTATCTGAACAGTTTATAGTCCATTCTGAAGGGAAGCTAAGACAGGACTCAAGGCAAGAGTTAGAAGAATGCTGTTTGTTGGTTTGCTTTCAGTTACTTATAAAGCCTAAGCCTACCTGCCTAGGGATGGTGCTAACCACAGTGGACTCGGACATAATTAAGAAAATGCCTCACAGATGTGGCCACAGGCCAGTCTGATGGAAGAAGTTATTCATTTAAGGTTCCCTCATCCCAGGTGTGTCAAGTTGACAGCCAAAATTAGCCACATTAGGCGAGCACTCTAACCCTAAGCTGTATCTTCAGCCACAAAACCTAGTTTTCCATGTTTCTGAAAAATACTTTAATACAGGTTAAAATATTCGTAAAGTTTTGCCTTTGATTTTATCATATTTCTAGTGTACAATATATATTATAGGGGCTTGCAGAAGTTAATGATGCTTTTTTTTTAAAGAGGGGAAAATTAGACCATATTAGATTCTAGGAAAGGATCATAAAATCTGTTTCATTGGAGGATTGCTCTGAATAATACTTTGGTCTTAGAATTTTAAGGAGAGGGCTTTGTTGAGACCGGATTGAATATAGTCCATGCTGGCCTGGTACTTGCTAAGTAGCTGAGGCTAGCCTTAAACTAATGTTGTCCTATCTTCAACTCTTCAAGTGACTGTTGGGGTTACAGTTAAGACCTCGTAAGCCAGAAAAGGCTAATTTTACTGGCTGGATCAATGGAAAGTTTACTTTTTCTGTTCTGATAGGGTAGAGAGCTGGGACTTAGCATAAGTCTCATGAGTCCTCTAAGAGTACAAATCACATATGTTTCCTTTCATTTTTAACTTGGAAGAGGAAGTTCACTCTTCTGAGAGATCATAGATGATATTGCCTACTTCACTTTAATGGATAGTTGACATGTTCAGTGATCCATCAGAAGGGCTGCTGGATCTAGTTTTAGCTTCTGAAGTCATACATGGGCCTTTTCAGGAGCTGTAGTCTTCATAATGAGTTCTTTGTTTTTAGCTGTGTTTTGTTGTAGAACTTACAATGCTATATGCTTTTTATTAATGTGATTTTTTTTTTTTTTGCAGTGATTATTTATTCAAGTTACTTCTGATTGGCGATTCTGGGGTTGGAAAGTCTTGCCTCCTTCTTAGGTTTGCAGTAAGTTGAAATTAAAACACCTTCATAATTAATTATGTGTTTACTTGTATAATTTATGTGGTGTGTTTTCTAGTTAGACAAAAATTAATTCTTCAGAGTTTATTTTATTTATTTATTTATTTTTGTCTTTTTTGAAACAGGGTCTCCCCATAGCCCCAGCTGGCCTGGAACTCACTATGTCGACCAGGCTGGCCTTGAATTCACAGAGATCCGCCTGGCTCTGCCTCCCAAGTGTTGGGATTAAAGGTGTGTGCCACCAAACCAGGCTCATACCACTTAATTTTTATCAAATTGGATATTAAGAGTAATTTGTAGTTTACATTAGCAGTTGTGTGTAGGTGAAAAAACTGGCATCTTGATAAAAGGGTCTGTGGCCTGAAGTACTTGTTTCAGAAAATATCTTTTTGGGAGAGCCAGATCTTGTGTCATATGCCCCAAATCCCAGCCCTTGGAAGGTAGGGGAGTTCAAGGCAGAAGTTCAAGGGCAGGCTGAAATACATGATAATGGTCTTGGAAAATAAGAAAAAATCTTTTTGGGGATGCCCATTGATGTAAGTCACAGGTTTTAAATAGTGTCTATGCAATCAATAACACAGGAATTGTTCTTTAAATTTAAAACCTGTGGCAGTAGAGTTGTGGCAAGAATGGTAATTTTGTTTTTTAAAAAAATATTTTTATTTTATGTGTATGACTGTATTCCTGCCTCTGCCTCCTGAGTGCTGGGACTAAAGAAATGCAGCCACTATGCCTGGCTAAGAGTAGTCAGTGCTCTTAACTGCTGAGCCATCTTTCCAGCCCCTACTTTTTGGGTTTTCACTCTGTTGCCCTATCCGGTCTGGAACTCACTACGTAGACTAAACAGCCTCAAACTCAGAGATCTCCTGCCTCTGCAGCGCTCAAACTAAAGACTTGGAAACAATGCCTGGGACATGTGTGTTACTTTTGTTTGTTTTGAGATGGATTCTTGCTGTCTTTCTCTGGCTGGTCTTGAATTTTGGGAGCTAAAGTGATCCTCATGTCTCAGCCTCCCAAGTAGCTAGGATGACAAGCATGCAGCACTTTCCGGAGCCAGATATTTATTTATAAAACAATACTGCCATTGCTAGCCTGCAGAATACATACATGTTCTTGATTCTCTCAGAAGTGATGCATTGTGGTTGTGCTTTAGGTCAGTTGTACAATACTTGCCTAGCATGGGTTTGAACCCTAGCATCACAAAATAATAAACAAGGGCTCTATTGCTTGGTTTGAATAAGGATTCAGACGTGGGGTATACGTTTTCTTCTGTTGTCTTGCAGCTTACTCTCCTTTTTATGGCACTGGGGGGGTTGAACTGAGATCCTTGTGCATGCTAGGCATACGTTCTGCCACTGCTACACTCCCCAGCTTGCTGCTTTGTCTTTTAACTTTTTACCATGTCTGTTTATGTAGTTTTCATGTGATTGCCTTTGTTGTAGACATTCCAGTGTCCTAGCTTTGTCGTTTTGCTTCCTTGTCCTTGAGATTATTTCCTTATCCCTTTTTCTGTAATTCCAAGTAAGCCTTAGAGCTGAGATATCCATATGCTAACTAGTTGTCTTCTCTCTCTCTCTCCCTCTCTCTCCAGTAGAGATTTGAGAATACAGCAACAGTGATTCTATACATCACACCTTACACCATTGGGATGGTTAATCTTGGTGCCAACTTGATGGGATTTAGAATCTCCGTGGAAACAAATCTCTGGGCCTGTCTCTGAGGGACTTTCTAGATTAAGTTGGCCGAGGTAGGAAGATCTGCCTTGAATATGATCAGCACCATTCCATGGTCTGGGGTCCCAGACTGAATAAGAAGGAGAAAGTGAACTGCTTTTTATTATTATTTTTTGTCTTTTTGAGACAGGGTCTCCCTTCTCTCTCTCTCTCTGGCCTGGAACTATGTAGACCAGGGTAGCCTTGAAATCACACAGATACACCTGCCTCTGCCTCCCGAGTGCTGGAATTAAAGGTGTATGTCACCACACCTAGTGTTCTCTGTGACTTTTTGACTTTAAATCAATTGAAATTAAAGAAAATTTTTAATTTTAGTTCCTCCTTTCATTAGCCACTTGGGACTAGTGACCATCATATTGGCCACCACAGGTTATGCTATAGAAAGTCCAGTTTGGCAGTGTTACTCTTACCAGAGTCTGGCTTGATTAGATTTGGGTCCATCTGTATTGGCACAATACTTCCTATGTGTTGCTGTGCGGTTCAGTGATGATTGATCTCTTCATTCTTGTATCTTTTCATGTTAGTTTTTTTTTTAAAACATGTATTGACTTAATGTGTGCGTGTGTGTGTACACAAATGCGACGGTGCACGTGTGGAGGTCAAAGGACAGCTTGCAGAAGCCAGTTTCCTCTTTGCACCGTGTGGGTTCTGGGGCTCAAACTCAGGTCATCAGGCTTGATGGCAGACACCTTTATCTTTTGAGCTGTCTTGCTGGCTTGTTTTAGACAGAGTTTCACTATGTAGCCCTGACTGGCCTGGAATTCCTCAGACCAAGCTCACCTTGATATCCAGTGATATTCCTGCCTCAGCTTTCTAAGCACTGGGATTACAGATATGTACCAAAAAAGATTTTCACATAAAGATAATAATTTTGTTTTCATTCTCAGTAAAACGTCTTGATGTATACCTGCAGGAGGCATAATTTTAAAAAGTTAGCATTGGGTTAAAAAGCTGAGGCGCAAACATGTTCATATGAAAACATGTATACATATGTTTATAGCAGCTTTATTCATACTGGCACCTAAATGGAAACTACATAGTTCTATCAACTGACATAAACAAAATGTCACCATATAATGGGATCTTACTCAGCTGCAAAAGAATGAAGTTGTGGCTGGAGAGATGGCTCAGCCATTAGGCTGCTCTTGAGGACCCAGGTTCAGTTCCCAGCACCCACATGAAGGCTAATAAATCCAATTCTAGGAGATAACGTCACTCTCTTCTAGCCTCCCCAGACAGTACATGCATAGGTGCACTTATATACATGCAGGCACATACACATAAAATAATTTTCAAATGACATTAAAAATGATGGTGGGGCCAATGAGACAGCTCAGCAGGTAAAGATGCTTGCCACTAAGCCTCATGACCTGAGTTTAGTCCCTGGGACCAACATGGTAGAAGGAAGGAACTGACTCTTAAGAGTTGTCTTTTTACGTCCACATGCACACACCACAGCACACACATATACACACAATAAACTTATAAAGTAATAAAAAAATTTAGAAATCAAGTATCAATCTGGGGTATGATCGAACATGTTGGTAATCTCAGCATTCTGAAGTCTGAAGTAGGAGATTCATGTTTGAAGCCAGTCTGAGCTATATACAGCAAGACCCTGTCCAAAACAAAATAAAGAAAACAGAAGAACTAATTGTGTTCTATGTGCTACAATCTGGATGAACCTTGAAAACATACTCATAAGTGAAAGAAGCCACTTTTTTCCTTGTGCTTGTTTGTTTTTGGTCTTTTGAGATAGTGTCTCCCTCTAGCCCTATAGCCTAGAACTCACTGTGTAGACCAGGATGGCCATGAGGTCATGGAGTTCACCTGCCTCTGCCCCCCGAGTGCTGGGACTAAAGTTGTGGCTACTTTTTTGGCATTTATTTATTTATTTGTTTATTTAATATGTATGAGTTTTCTGTCCGCATGTATGTATGTTGGGAACTGAACCCAGATCCTCTGGAACAGGAACTAAGGACAGCTAGTGTTCCTAACCAGTAGACCATCTCTCTAGTCCCCAAGCTACTTTCTTTGACTCCATTCATGAACTGTTCCCATAGCCAAATCTCAAGAGTTAGGAGATAGTGGTTGCTGTGATCTGAAGGAAGAAGGGAAATGGAGAGTGCTGCCTATGAGAACAGCTCCTTTTGATGATACATTGTGGAGTTAGGTGGAGGTGATAACTGTGGCAACCTTGGGTATATGCTAAAAATCACTGAGTTGTATACTAAAGAGAGACTTGTCTGCGTTTTATGTCAAAAAAAAATAGCCTAAGCCATAAATACTTCTAAACACACAAGAATGAACACTTTTTCAGTAAGTGAATAGGGTATTGGAAGAGCCAAGAGTTTTGCTGATTGATGATTTATGTCAGGTGGGGGAGGTCTGACAATTAGTCTTTTCCTTTATGCCATATGTAAAGAATTTGCCAAGAAGTGTACAAAAAAATAGCAGTACTTGAAAAAAATCTCAAAGGAAAAAGACAGTTGCTAACTAATCAGTATTTTATATCAGAACAGGAAACAGGCTTGAGTGAATTATCAAATGTTAACTTTTTAAAAAACTGACAATAATGCAAGTAAATTTTTAAAAATTTATTTTGTTGAACATTAATTTTCATTAACTTTTCTCCTTTAGGATGATACATATACAGAAAGCTACATCAGCACAATTGGTGTGGATTTCAAAATAAGAACTATAGAGTTAGATGGAAAAACAATCAAGCTTCAAATAGTAAGTGGTTCCTGGTTAGAAATGGTTTTGGTAAATGTAAAGTGTATTTTGTTTATATTTAATATGCTAACAAAATTGAATGTAAAGTTTCTTAAGCCATGTATCTATGATAGACTGGTAAATAATTGTTTAGACCAAAAAGCATTCCCTAAGATTGCTTTTCTCAAAGAAGTTTCTTCTTTTGTTCATTCGTCTGTTCTGAGGATTGAATCCAGAGTCTCTTTTGTGTTAAAGTGTGCAGTTACTTGTCACTGGAGTGTACCCCGTGCCCTCCCTGTTGAAATTTCCATTCATGGAGATACTCTCTTTTTTTTTTTTTTTTTTTTTTTTTTTTTTTTTTTTTTTGTCTTTTTTGGGACAGGGTCTCCCTGTAGCCCCAGCAGTCCTGGAACTCACTGTGTAGACCAGGCTGGCCTTGAACTCACTGAGATCTGCCTGCCTCTGCGTCCCAGGTGCTGGGACTATAGGCGTGCACCACCACACCTGGCAAGATACCCGCATTTTAAGTCGATCTTTCTTCAGTGCAAGATCTAATTTTCCTTGCCTTTTCTGTGTGTCTTTACTGTGCTGAGTGCTGTGGAACATTGCAAGAAACTTTGTAAGGGTATGCTTGTCATACATGCTGTAAAGACAAATGTTTATTTCTATGAGGTTTTTGCCTCCTAAATTATTTTTTTATTTTTTTCAATTTTATGTGTATGAGTGTATTGCCTGCATGTATGTAAGTGCACCTGTGTCATACAATGCCAGCAGAGGTCAGAAGAGGGCTGGGTGCTGGAAACATTCAAACCTGGGTCCTCTATAAGAACAGTCAGTGCTCTTAACTACTGAGCCATCTCTTTAGCCCTTGTTTTTTCTTTTTGTGGCAGGTCTCACTCTGTAGCCTTGACTGGCCTGGAATTTACTATGTAGACCAGCTCACCTTAAACTCCAGTGATCCTCTTGCCTCTGTCTCCAGAGTGATGGGATTACTGGTGCGTGTCACAATGCCCAGCTTTTCTTTTAAATTTATTTTTATGTCTGTGAGTATTTTGCCTGCATCTAAGTGCACTATGTACATTGCTGGTGCCTATGGAGGCCAGAAGAGCATCGGATTCCCTGGAACTGGAGTTAAAGACAGTTGTAAGCAACCAAGTGGGTGCTGGGAACCAAAACCAGGTCCTCCGCAAGAGCAACAAGTGCTCTTAGCTGCTGATTGATCTCTCCAGCTGGCTTTAGCTCTTTCCCTGAGACTGAGTTTCCTCATTATTTTTTCCTCCCAGTACTGAGCATTCCACCTAAGACTTGGTACATGCTAGGTAAGAATGCTGTCACTGAGCCATATTCCCAGCAGTGTCCTCTCTAAAATGTATGATGTGACCCGATTTACTAGCACATAAAGCCATTGAGAGAATCAAACATAGTAGTTCTGCCTGTGTGTGTTTGCCCTTGGTAGACTTTTAGACAGTATATTAGTATACTGATGATATGACATATTCAGGGGGAAGGATGTTCGATAGTTTTTTTTTTGTTACCTTATGTGAGTCTGTTGTTGAAGATTCATGACAAAAGTGTGTTTGACACACATGAACACACTCTGGTATACCAAATTAGGACTTGAAAGGATATGATTCTCAGACATAGCTTGAAGTACTTTGACTCATTGACTAACTGGGGTACTTTCCATATTGATTTCCCTCCTCATTAATCTAAAGTGTCAGCTTTCTACAACAGAATTGAAAAAGATCCACTCATACCTACAGCCCAGGTACCAATGTGATATGTGGTCATCAATCTCAGTAGCATTTGGGTATTTGTGTAACATTCATATTTTATACTTTGTCTGGAAAGGATCTTAGAGATCACTTTGAGTGCACCTTTCATCTTCAGTAAGACTTTCTTTACTATACTTGATAGTGTTGTATGAACGTGTTTGGAAAACTCATCATTTTCAAAGCAGCTACTTCCATTTGTAAATAAACTCTAGCTATGAATTCTTTACATTGAGCTCAAGCCAGTTTCTTTTGTCTCATTCTCCTGCATTCTGAAGCTGTTAGAAGCAGATCTACTCTTCTGGTGGCATCTGCCCTTCAGATAGATGTCATCACACCCTTCCTCCTTACCTCAGTTGATTGTTCTTTATTTTTTAAATTTTATTATTTTTAATTTACATGTATACGTGTATTGCCTGCATGACGGTAAGTGCACCCGTGTCATGCAGTGCCCGCCGAGGTCAGAAGAGGCTGTCGGATCCCAGGGACTGGAGTTATGGACAGCTGTTAGCTGCCATGTGGGTGCTGAGATTTGAACCCGGACCTTCTTCAAGAACAACCAGTGTTCTTACCCTCTGAGCCATCTCTCCAGCCCCGATCATTCCTTTTGGAAGCAGTTTTCAAACCTTTTGCAGTTTAGGTTATGCTTTCATTTTTAAGTACGTTTTCTAAATTGGATTCCTAAAATAAAATATCATCATCCTCTGAATTTCTTAAAATTTTTGTCTCTTGAGCCAAGTGTGGTGGTACATAACTTTAATCCCAGCACTCAGAGGAGAAAGGCGGATCTCTGAGATCAGAGGCCAGCCTGGGTCTACGTAGCAAGTTCCAGGTAGCCAGGGATCTAGGGAGACCTTATCTCAGAAAAACAAAACAAAAACTTTCTTGGACTTCGGAGACCCATCATTCTCGTTGTTACCCACTGAGAAATATAAAAGGAAAGCGTGAGTCTTTTTTTTTTTTTTTTTTTTTTTTTTTTTTTTTTTTTTTGGTCTTTGAGACAGCGTCTCTCTGTTGCCCAGCTGGTCTTGAACTCAGAGATCCGCCTGCCTCTGCCTCCCGAGTGCTAGGATTAGAGGCGTGGGTTTTCATGCCCAGCTGGAAAGCATGGGTCTTGACTTGCTGTCTCAGTAGCTGTATTACCTAGTAGTCTGGATTTTGGGTTGCTTGGTTTGTTTTGTAAAAGTATGTATGGGCTGGGGAGATGGCTTAGTGGATAAAGTGCTTGCCATCCAAATGTGAGGACCAGAATTCACCCACATAGATATCAAATAGGCGAAGGGGGCCTACCTGTAATCCCAGCCTCTGGAAGGTGGAGACAAGGATCCCTGGAGCAAGCAAGCTCGCTAGACTAGCCATATCCTTGAGTTATGGGCTCAACTGAGAGATCCTGCCTCAATGAACAAGGTGGAGATTGAGCAAGGAAGACTTCTGACATCAGCTTTAGGTCTCCATGTGCCCTTGTACCCACATGCACATATACTACACATAGACCTGCAAAAGAAAAAAGGTGTGTGTCTTGTACTTCTGTGACTGGTGTTTTTACAGTTTAAATGCAAATCTCTCCTTCAACCCTTTTCCACTTCATCTTGCTGGGCTGCTTTTATTCTTCTAAGCGTTCTAGGACTGCAGTTTATCTGGTTAGTGACAACAGCCAGGTCTTCATCAGAATTGGTGATAATAAAACATTGAGCAGAGAGGGACAGGTTGCTAAGAGAAGACTCCAAAGGTCATTTATCTCCAAGGAGATCAAGAGGCTCCTGAGGGGTAATAGTAATCTACATAGTTATTTGAGTTCTCAGCCTCAGTCATTTGGATAAAAAAGTAAAACTTGCCTTTATTTGTATCTTTTTTTATTTTTACTTTTTAAAATTATTTTTATTTTATGTTTATGCGTGTGTTGCCTGCATGTAGGTAAGTGCACCTGTGTTGTGCAATGCCGGGGGAGGTCAGAAGAGGCTGTCAGATCCCCTGGGACTGGAGTTACATGACAGTTAGCGGCCATGTGGGTGCTGGGATTTGATCCCGGGTCTTCTGCAAGAACAACTAGTGTTCTTAACTGCTGAGCTATCTCCCCAGCCCCTGTATTTTTGTTTTTAGATACAAAAAAACTTTTACATTATTATCCCCCCAGGAGTATGCTAAAGTATTTTGAGACACAGCTCACTATGTAGCCTTGCCCAAGCTGGATTTGAACTTGCAGTGATCCTCCTCCTACACCTGTTTTCTGAGTGCAGATGCTGGGATTACAGGCTTGTGCCATTGTGTCCAGCTTTGTAAAGACATGATTTTTCCTACAGAATGCTTTATACTGCACCTGCATTTTATCATGTTACTATTCTCTTATATTTAGCAGAATTAACATTAATGCCTTAATATACAGTCCTCCCATTTCCCCATTTGTAGGGTGTGTGTGGGGGTATGTATGTGTGTATCTGTGTTGCTGGGAATTGAAGCACAAGAAACATACTCTACTACCCCTGTACTATGTCCCTCAGTCTACCAGTATCTTTTAGTGGAGTATGTCGTTAATCTAATTAGACAAGCTTTTCTTAAGAAGAGGCCATTGTTCAGGAGCAACTTAAGCAAAATTCTCATCTCCTTTTTTCTTTTTGATGTTGAGAATTGAATTTGTATATGCTAGGCTGCATCTCCAGCTTCACCTAATTGTCTTTGTTAAAAATTAAGGCTTTTTTAGGGTTGAAGAGATGGCTCAGCAGTTAAGAGTACATACTGCTCTTGCAGAAGACAACTTCAGTTCCCAGCACACATGCTGGGCAGTTCATAACTGCCTATAACTCCAGTTCCAGGGGATTCAACACCCTCTTCTGGCCTCCTTGGGCACCACACACATGTGCACATACCCCTTCTCCCCATGTATATAATTAAACAAAATCCTTTTAAAGAAAGACAACTAAGGCTTTTTAAATTTAAGAATTTAATTTTTCAGTATTCTTAATTTTCTTTAAGAAGCCCAGAACATTAAAATATTGATTGTAAGCATTTCATTTTGGTGTTGGAGCCTAAGTGGTAAGGTGTTCTTAAAATGAGATTTATATTTTTATCTTTAGAAATTTTTTTAGGGGCTGGAGAGATGGCATAGTGATTAAGAGCATTTGCAGCTTTTCTAGAGGACCTGATTTCCATCCCCAGCATCCATGTTGAGTGGCTCACACTAGCATGTAACTCCAGCTCCAAGAGATCTGACACCCACCCTCTTTTCAGGTTTTGGGGGAACATGCACACACAAGTGCACAAACAAACACATATTAAAACTGTAAAAAAAATATTAAATGTTGTATTTGTATGTGATGTGTGAGTGTGGGCATGTGCATGCCACAGCATTGTAGAGGTCAGAGGACATGTTCTATTTTATTTTCAATATATATTTTTAATTGAATTTTTGTGCATTTCATATAATACACCTTAATCATATTTAGACCCTCCTCCCCATCTGCACCCCGACACCTTTTTTTCCTGTTACTCTCCATTTTACTTTTTTATTTTATTTTAACTTTTATAAAAACTTTATTGAGAATTTCATACATGCTTATAAGGTGTTTTGATCAAATCCATGCCCGCTTCCTCCCAACACCTCCCATATCTCCCCATCACTTTTTTCTTTTTCTTCTTTCATTTATTTATTTTTATGGGGCTTTTGGACTTTTTGATAAGAATAGGAGGTAGGAATTGGCTAGGCAGTTAGGGTAAAAGGACCCCAAAGAAAAGTAGCCTGGCTAATGGCTAAAACTCACAAATATCCTTGGGACTGTTAGTAACATACTCTGTTCCAAAGGCCAAAAATGTCAAAAGTACTTGGGAGCTTGTATCTAATCCTCAAAAGATTTTAGGGCACCTTTCATTTTAAAATTTTTAATTATTTTTGTTTTATGTGTATGAGTGTTATGCCTGCATGTATGTAAGCACACTTGTGTTTTTCAGCGCCTGCAGAGGACAGAAGAGGATGTCAGATCCCCTGGAACAGGAATGATGGATGATTGTTAGCTGCCACGTGGGTTCAGATTCACACCTGGGTTTTCTGCAAGAACAGCCAGTGCTTTTAACTGCTGAGCCATCTCTCTAACCCTTGTTATTTTTTGAGATAGGGTCTCTAATTGTACCCCTGGCTGGTGTGGAACTTGTAGGCCAGGCTGACCTTGAACTCAGAGAGATTCTCTTGCCTTTGTCTCCTGAGTGTTGGGAATACAGGCATGTGCCACCACATCCAGACAGAGGACAACTTTTGATAGTCGGTCTCCTTCAACCATGGGTTGGTTCCAGGGATAGAACTAAAGTCATCAGGCTTGTGCACTGCCTGCCTTTCTCCCTCAAGAAATGAGTTTTAGAAAGGTATTTAGAATAACCTTCCTTACATTATTTTTCCTCTGATTAAGATAATACCTGAAGTGATTCAATGCCATTTTGACTGGTAGTTAACTGAATTAGGTCTTTCCATCTTCTTTCTCGCCAGTGAGTCTGTCTAATGTAGGGTTATCTCTGTTCATAGGTCTTGGCGCCACTCTGTTAACTGGTCTCTATTCACACTGACTGCCTTGCATAACTTCTGTTCTTGAAGAACTTAAAATTTGGGTCTCGGAACCTAACTAGCTAAATTGTAGGCATCATCTTTTCTGAACTTTCACTTATTTGACACAATGCAATTTAATAATGTATGCATTAAATACTGTTGCCACACGAAATGCCAATAATTTATAACTGCAGAAACAGAACTATTTTTTTTTCCTTCCTGCATTTTCCCCCAACTATGTTAATGGAATTGTTTGGCTTCCCTGGTTGTTTTCCAATAGTGGGATACGGCAGGCCAAGAAAGATTTCGAACAATCACCTCCAGTTATTACAGAGGAGCCCATGGCATCATAGTTGTGTATGATGTGACAGATCAGGTAAGTTTCTGGAGAAGATGGTGTTACAGTAACAAAGCAGATCAGGCTGGCCTTGAACTCAAGAGAGATCAACTTGCCTCTGCCTCCCGAGTGCTGGGATTAAAGGCGTGCGCCACTATGCCCAGCTTGGGTCTCTTTTTCTTAACTTGTCTAATAGTAACACTTTGCTGTTATTCATAAACCAGAATTCTGCACAATGTTAGACAGGTTTTGTAGTATTTTAAAATTTCAGTTTAAAATTTGGGTTTGCCTGAGTCCTTAAACTGTATTTCCCTCTCAGATGAGGTTATTTTTACCTTCAAGCCTTTCAGTTCTATCTGATGGATAATTTAGATTTGTGTTGCCATTGTAGTGTATTAGCTGATTTCTTTCCTTGCATGATAGTTATAGCTAGAGTTGTCTCATAAGCTGGTTAAATACTTCTGTTCATCTGTCACTTGATCATTAGTTGTGCCCAGAACTGTATCATTATTCTTAAGAATGACTTATCTTTTTAGGAGTCCTTCAATAATGTTAAACAGTGGCTGCAGGAAATAGATCGCTATGCCAGTGAAAATGTCAACAAGTTGTTGGTAGGGAACAAATGTGATCTGACCACAAAGAAAGTAGTAGACTACACAACAGCAAAGGTATGTGCTCTAGTTTGCTTTCTCTTGCTTCAGTAACACCACAAACAATAGCAACTTGGGGAGGAAAAGGTTTATTTCAGCTTACAGTCTATCAAGGGGAAGCCAAGGCAGGAACCTGGAGTGGGAACTGAAGGAGACCATGAAGGAACACTGCTTACTGGCTTGCCCAGCTACCTTTTTAAAAATCATTTGTATGTCGGGCGTGGTGGTGCACGCCTTTAATCCCAGCACTTGGGAGGCAGAGGCAGGTGGATCTCTATGAGTTCAGCCTGGTCTACAGGGAGACCCTGTCTCAAAAAGACCAAGAAAAAAAAATCATTTTTATGTGTACAAGTTTATTGCCTGCCTATGTGTAAGTGCATCTGTGTCATACAGTGCCCAAGGAGGTCAGAACAGTTCATTGGATTTTCCTGAAACTGAGTTGTTAGCCACCATGTAGGTGCTGGGAAGCAAATCCAGATCCTCTGCAAGAACAGCCAGTGCTCTTAACTGCTGAGCATCTCTCTAGCCCCCCCCCCCTTTTTTTTTGAGACAGGGTCTCCCTGTAGCCCCACCTGGCCTGGAACTCGCTATGTAGACCAGGCTGGCCTTGATTTTAAAGAGCCTCTGCCTCTGCCTTGTTCCACCATACCTAGCTGAGATACCTTTCTTATACAGTACATGCCCACCTGTCTAGGGATGGCACCACGCATAGTGGGCTGGGCCCTCATATCAATTAGCAAGAAATGTCTCACTAAGTACATACATTTAACAGTACTCAGGAGGCAGAAGGGTCTTTGTGAATTTGAGGCCACCCTGGTCTATGACATAGTGAGTTCCAGGTCAGCAGGGGCTACATAATGAGACTGCCTCAATGAGAGAAAGAGGTGCCTCACGGACATGGCTACAGGTCAGTATGATAAAGGAAATTCCTCAATTGAGATTTCTTCCCAGTATGTCTAGGTTTGTGCCAAGTTGACAGAAACTAACCAACACAGTATGTTTAAAGTTTGATTTCAAAATAAATTTCAAGACATTGAATTTTAGTTACATATGGGGATGGAGTCCTACAATAGCCTGAACTACCTCAACTTTTAAAACTTAGTCTTCTCCATTTCCATTTCAGATGGCAGGACTGGACTACACTAAAGACTTCCCAGTGTTCACTGTACTTTATTTACTCTTTTAGGAATTTGCAGATTCCCTTGGAATTCCATTTTTGGAAACCAGTGCTAAGAATGCAACGAATGTAGAACAGTCTTTCATGACGATGGCAGCTGAGATTAAAAAGCGAATGGGCCCTGGAGCAACAGCTGGTGGTGCAGAGAAGTCCAACGTTAAAATTCAGAGCACTCCAGTCAAGCAGTCAGGTGGAGGCTGCTGCTAAAATTTGCCTCCATCCTTTTCTCACAGCAATGAATTCGCAATCTGAACCCAAGTGAAAAAACAAATTGCCTGAATTGTACTGTATGTAGCTGCACTACAACAGATTCTTACAGTTTCCACAAAGGTCAGACATTGTAAATGGTCAATACTGACTTTTTTTTATTCCCTTGACTCAAGACAGCTAACTTCATTTTCAGAACTGTTTTAAACCTTTGTGTGCTGGTTTATAAAATAACGTGTGTAATCCTTGTTGCTTTCTGATACCAGGATGTTTGGTTGGTCAGAATATATTTTGTTTCGATGTTTATATTGGCATGTTTAGATGTTGGGTTTAGTCTTCTGAAGATGAAGTTCAGCCATTTTGTATCAAACAGCACAACCAGTGTCTGTCGGTTTCCATGCATAAAGTTTAGTGAGATGTTACATGTAAGATCTGATTTGCTAGTTCTTCCCTGTAGACTTATAAATGGAAAGATTACACTATCTGATTAATAGTTTTCTTCATACTCTGCATATAATTTGTGGCTGCAGAATATTGTAATTTGTTGCACACTATGTAACAAAACAACTGAAGATATGTTTAATAAATATTGTACTTATTGGAAGTAATATCAAACTGTATGGTGATAAGTATTGTTTTAATTCTTACGGTTAAAGGGAAATAGAGCTTTGCATTATACTCAAAACAGCCATTTGTATGTACAACCAGGGCATAGACTTCTCTTATAGCGCAGCATCCAGTATTTGCTTTCTAGATAATAGACCTGACAAATGACCTAGAGAAGCTTCTGTGCTGTGTAGAGACTTAACCAGCTTTACTGGTTTAAGGAGCCCAAATTGTATGGACTAACAAGTTTAGAATGTATGCTGCCTAGCGCTTCATCTCCAATCCTTCTAAACCATTTGAAGTGGCTTCACTGGTAACACTTTTTAAAGTCATCTGTGGTAGAGGTGGAAAGCAGCACATCCTTCCTACCCAGCAGTGATCAGGTAAGGTGTGCTGATGTTTCTTCCATGCAGATGTCACCCCCCCCCGCCCCCTGTTTTTTTTTTTTTTTTGAGACAGTATCTCAAGTACCCCAAGGTGGCCTCAAACTCACTATGTAGCCGAGAACTCCTGATCGCCTGCCTCCACCTCTAGATATCAAACTTTTTTATTCTTTATAGTTGTATAACTCACATTGGAGGAGTTTAAGCATTAGAGTAGAAAGCAGGAAATGTTGATTGCCCTAATTATAGAAATTATATCCCTAAAAATTAACTGAAAACATGAATGCTAGATGGGAATGATGAGAGAAATAATATATTTCGGTGAAATTTTTGCATGTGTGGAAATTTTGTTAAATAGGACCTTTGAGATCCTAGACTTTGCTTTTGTCTTACTGTGGGAAATGAAGTCTCTAGCAGACACTAGCATTTTAAGATGACAGAGGTCAAAGATTGTTTCCTTTGGTTTAAGTAGCAGCCAGATATTCTTCACATGGGGCCTAGGATGTGGCTGTTGGCAACACATTACGGGATCTTTAATGGTAAAAAAACTATTAAACTAAAAATAAGCCAAAAAATTATAGGTTTCTTTATTTTTCACTAAACAGACAATTGAAATACATGGTACAAAAATAAGTGGTAAGATTATTGTAAAATGAAATGGACAGAATAAATATTCAATTTAATTTTCCATCTATGAGAATTTCACAATAAAATCATAGTTTACTTTGTATTATAGACGTGCTTGTTGGATCTATTCATCCTTATATAAGGCATTTGGAAATTCCTGAAGTTAAAATAATTATTGGGGTCAAGATTTTGTTTTTGGCTTATCAATACAAAAGAGGAACGAGTTTATAAACTTCTCTATAACTAAATGACACAAACCAACATAAGACAGTATGATGCCATGCACTATAGCTTCATACAGTAAAAGTTATTCAGACTGTCAGCTTATTCTTGGTTACCAGAAAACATCACATGAATTTTATAATTTTACATAAACATATTTACAGACTTAGTTTATAAAATTCTAGTGTTTCTCCAATGGTAGCAAAATTGGGATTTTCCATTCTCTTTCAGTATCTCATTTTTCAAGTACAAACATTCAAGGCTTATGAGTTTTCATCTGTTTGCATAATAAAGAACAAGTGGCTGCCATAATTAGCTTGCATAAGAATATTCTAAGCAGTGGCAGTCACTGGGGGAAGTCCTCCTAAAGAACGGTAGTCACTGTGGTCTAAGCAGTAACTTCCCATGCTGACATGCGGTAGAAATCCCCTTCAGCATATATACTGCCACTCGCCACCCCTTCTTTGGGTTCCATTTAAGTTTCAAAATCGCCCTGTACTGTAGCAGTCTCCCGTTGCTAGAGCTTAGCCATGGGCAAGAATCCAGTCCTGAAATGCCACTTCGCTGTGGACTCAAATGCTATTACCCATTAATGCCATTAAGTGCATACTTAAAAATTCTAGTGTGGCAGTACACTGCTAGCCAGTGTGACTACCTGAAGGTAACTTGACCGTATCTGCCCACGGAAATAGTGTTGGCACCACTGTCCTAGACTGAGGCAGTTTCAGCTCAAATGCCTTCACACACAGCTGAAGATTATAAACAACTGTATTTGAGACTCCTTAGTGGTATTCACACCCAGGTTCATCTAATCTTTTTTATTTCAAAGAGGATGACCAAAAATACAGATCATCCATATGGTATTTTATTCGGAAAACAGTATATCCCAAATAAAATAATCTGGAAATTGTCAGTTGAAGCTGATTATAATTACACATTGAGAGAGTGTCACATTCTGTGTTCAATTGGTGTACTTGGCTAGTTGTTTTCAGTAAGGTCATCTTCAGTTTTTAGGCTGATTTTCATGTCTGTCAAAGGGGTTTAACTCCTAAGGACTGCTCTTATCTTCAGTGGGAAGGCCACATCAAAGGTGAAATGTATCTATTTTTAACCAATTCTAGGTTTAAAGGATGTTTTGCATATATTCTTATAATTGACAATCATTTGCTAGGGAGGCTTTTTCTCTTGAAAGCACATTGTGTATCGTGTACAGGAGAAATTAAGATTTGGAGATGGCACAATTGAATCTGGATCGTGCCCATAAGCATTATGGTAAACCATACATACTGTACAGCATATGTAATCCTGTATGTGTAGCTACTACTGAATAGCAGTCTTTTTAAACGCCAGAACACAACAGCTATTTTCTAGTGACTATGAAGTCTGAACATTTCTGAAGCTGAAATGCCCGTCTTTGATATTTACTGTAGGCTTCAAAATCTATTAACTAATGCTTTGAACAATTCTTTTCCCATTCAATCTGTTGTTGACTCCTAAGCAACAAAAAATTTCTCTTTTTTTTCTTCACCACTGGCAGCTTTAATTTCTGTACTGACCAGACTGTATGGCCTCACCCATCCCCTTCCCCAGCCTTGGAAAGTACAAGTGGGGGACTGAGTCCCCCCAGAGGTAACCAAAGTCATTCCAAAGTATAATGGCAGGTCTTCAGCTCCTTGATGCATTTTCTTCTAGGGTCAGCGTTAACAGGAAGGTGGAGACCTATACCCTGAAGCTGGCAAATAGATGTCCTAATGCCCAAAAGACTTACTTTGTGGAGGTTCTATTCATTTCCTGTTTTTCTGTGGTAGACTAAGGACTCAAGTGTCTTCTAACAATCATGGTGGAAGTTTACAAATGTTAAGGTTTTGGGTCAGCTTTTCACTCTTAGATCCCATCCCCATGTATGCCAGAGAATGCCAAGTACTCAGAAACTTCTCAAGCAGCCCACAGTAAATAACCTCAGTAAGTATTGTCTGCTGTTTAACTGGAGGAGGGAAATGTGACCTGTAAGTCGATTAGTATTTTACAAAAACTTGCAAAGCCAGGTACTTTCTGTAGAGAAGCACCAAATAGAAATTTTGCCTTTGTTGAGAGGGATTCTTGTAGTGAAAACAATGACTTGAGCCCTTAGAGAAAGGAAAGACATTCTAAAGCTAGTACATTAAAGCTGTGTTTCCCCCTTGACTTAACTGCTAAGTGGTCTTTACAAGAAGTTCTTTGAAAGAGCCGACTTTTGGTTGATGATTGTTTCTCTGCTTGAGATGATGCCTGAAAGAGAAGGCAGGCATTATAGGCATGCTGCAGAGGAGAGTGACAACAGCAATCCTCTGCATCCACTTCAGAACTAAGACAACTGCTTAAAAAGTGCTTTCACTGCAAGTGCAGAGCTCTCCTTCACTAGTATTATTTTCAGACGGTCTTGGTATATAGCCCAGGTTGGCTTTAATCTTTGAATCCTTTCCAGAGTGCTGCGTTTACAGGTGTGCACCACTACCACCATCACCCTTGGCTGGAGTCCCTGTTCTTGACCCATATCCAGTTGAATGTTCACCTAGAAAATCTTTCAAAAAAAAAAGATTACTTTCATGTGTATGAGTGTACATACTGCTTGCATGTGTGTAAATGTACCTGTGCAGTGCAATGCCCATGAAGGGCATTGGATCCCCTGGAACTGGAGTGATGGATGGATGTTAGCTGCCATGTGGGTGTTGGGAACTGAACCCGGGTCCTGTGCAAGAGCAGCTAGTGCTCTTAACCACTGAGTCATCTCTCCAGCCCCACCTAGAAAATCTTAGAACACCAAAAACATTTTGTTGTAGAAAAAGGAAGTTCCAGAGAAAGAGTTGTGGAGTTATGATGGGCTAGGAAGTAAAATCCTATGGCAGGCACCAGGTAGCTCTTCCTCCCTTTCTCCTATTAGTCATCCCATTTGACTTTGCACTTGTTAAGTCTCCAAGGTGTGTTACCTACCTGCCCCAAGCTCTCTGAGGAAGGATGTAGGGTGGGAGATTTACAGAGATGCACTGTAGGAAGGGGGGTGGCAGGGTAGAGAACCGGCAGGCAGCTGTAACTCTGGGTTTCTGTGGGCATTTGTGTTGTCAGAACTGCTTAGAGATGGAGTGCCAAATGAGTTGGCTGGGAAGAGCTGGCAGACGGGGGGCAGTTGGAGCCCCATACTGGGGAAGTACACCTATACACAACAAAGTACGGGTGAAATGCTGCTGTTGTCGTGGGTGGCAGTGAAGAGAACACAGCAGAAGTGGGAGTGCGGTGGGGTGCTCTTGTCCACAACAGCACAAAACCAAGTAGTGGGAGGCGTGAAAGTGAGCTTTCATCATTACAGGAAGACCCACAATATTCTTGGCAAGGGTAGTGGCTTTTTCAGTACTAGGGCAGCCTACCTTCAGCACTGAATTTGTTTCAACCACTGTTATCCCAACTAAGCTTCTAAGAAGTTCCTTATTTGCCAGGTATGGCCTAATCAGCTTGGACAGCAGACTTTAGGGGTTTTTCTACTTACCATGTTAAATTCCTTCACATGGGTGTTCTTTAGCTGCTGTTGGCCTTTTGTCAGGAATGAGTGTGCAGCCAGCCAGCATGTCCACAGAGGCCAAGATAGAATCATAAAGGTGATCTGCATGGCTCTCCAGCTCATCAGACTGCTTTGCAATCCTCCCAAGGACATCCTTTAAAACTGACAATGAGTTTTAAAGTGGTATAGTATTTTGCTCATTAAGACTGTGGTCTGTGGCAGTAATACCATACCCCCCCCCCCTTTTTTTATTTTCTGAGGCACGGTCTCATTAGTCCAGGATGGCCTCTTACTTGCTTTGTAGCCAAATATGACCTTGAACATAGGGATGTATACTACCACGCCTGTTTATGCAAGCATTCTACCAACTGGGCTACATCTCTAGCCTGTGTACTTGGGATGTTTGTGTACCTTTGTGTGTGGGGGGGTTCAAATGTGACAGAATTAGAGAAATGACAGGACAAGCCAGTGTCAGAGTGTCCTCGTGAGGAGGAGGAATGGTGCAAGGTCAGGGTGGTCACAAATGGCAAGCTCCCCCCAACCTTAAGAAACTTCACTTCTTTGGTTCAACTCAAGCTTCCTGTGCCTTTATCAGCTTTGTTCACTGCTCCCTAGGCTTCCTGCCATAACTGCGACATCTGCCAGCAGAGGAAGGGAGAGAGGAAGCTGCCTATCTGCACACAATGCTGACTGGATGGGCGGAGGGAGAAGGAACACAGGCTGGCTGGTTGAGGTCAGCCTCAAGGGAAGCCACATCAGTGCCATGTCATCAGGGCAAAGTGCTGTCCTAACAACTCTTCAGAGAGCTGGGTAGCAGAGGAATGCAGCTGTTAGGGTGGCTGGGTCAGGCTCTGCTGTCTTCCTGTGTGTTGTCAGTGGAATCTAGGGGCCTTTTCTTAGAAACTTTTTGTACACTGTGAGAGGCTAGAACGGGAAATAGAAATCTTTCTTTTCCCAGTGTGATTTTTGTGTTGTTTTAATTGAATACATGCATACAGGAGCATCATTTGGCTTAATGACCACAGGTCTGAGTCATTTGACCCATATAAGAAGTTGGTGGGGGGCAGGTGTGGTGATATACCCCTCTAACTCCACCACTCAAGAGGCAGATACAAGTGGATCTCTGAGTTTGAGGCCAACCTGGTCTGTAGGTCAGACAGTGCTACATAGTGAGATCCTGTTGTGAAAAAAAAGTTGGGAGTATGAGACATAAATGTCGGCCTGTACTTAGTAACCGGGTCAAAATTCAGTGAAGACATGGGGGACTTTGGTCTCTTGGCAGTTAGGGGTAAGCTTTAGTCACGCCAAGGCTATATTTATGGTCAAGTAAAGTGGTCTGTAGCTGTGTGTCCACTCAACAGGATGGGCTCTGAAGAAGCAGTGTGTATGTGTCTGTCTGTGTCTGTGTGTCCACTCAACAGGATACTCCTGGGAGGAAGAAAGTACCAACTAGCTTAGCTCTCCAGTTATTTCAGGCAGAGAAAAGAGCCTGGATTCATGCTTGAGACTCCCAGAGAACAAAAGGCCTCCTCTGGCCAGTGAAACAGCCCTAAGTCCCTTCTCAGAGGCAAAGTAGGGTATTCTTACTACCTTAGGCACTGAAAAGTATTCTTAGATTTGTGAAAGTAAAAACAGTAACCTTTAAAAGGCTTCCTAGTAGACATGGCCTTGCCAAAGAGGTGTTCTGTTTATGCTCTCCTTTTCTTTTAGGCCCCATACCTTCAGGTCTAGGACAGCAGCAGCAGGCAGGCACACACAGGCTGCCTGAGGCATATCCAACTTCTCTAGAATGTTGTGTCTGTTTCAAATAACTGTGATTAGAATTTTTAAAAATTCTATGCCCACGTCTTCAGCCCCACGCTCAGCGTGTTCAGTAAAATGCTAGAGTTGTTAAGGCTGCAAAGGAGTGTGACATCAAGTTTCTGCCCCAATATGAACCTAAAAATCAGGGCTGGTGAGATGGCTTGAGGGAAGGCGTTTGCCGGCCTGACCCTCCGCACATACACAAAGTTCAAATTGCCAGGCGTGGTGGTACACACCTTTACTCCCAGCACTTGGGAGACAGAGGCAAGCAGGTCTCTTAAGTTGAGGGTAGTCTAGTCTAACAGTGAGTTCCAGGCCAGCTGGGGCTACTCAAAAAGACCAAAAAAAAATTTTTTTTTTAATAATTTAGGCTTAACTATTAAAAACACAAAAACCTAAAAGTCCCACTGTAAAAGCCTGAGGAACCCAAACAAAGGCCTTCAGAAGGCCATGGGACGGCAGACATAATTTATGCTAAACAGTTGCTTCCCTGCTGGAAACTCTTCAGGGATCACTATCAAAATCTTTCTACATGTTTGCACGTTTCCCTAGGGCACAACTGGCAAAGTTTTGGGCTGTCAGAACTGCAGAGTGTGTGTGAGGGCTTCTTGCCACCTAATGGGGCTAGAGGTACTGTGAAACATCCTGCAATGCACAGGAAAATCCTTACAACAAAGAATTAAGTAGCCTCACACGGCAGTGGCACTAGGACTGAGAAAGCGTGTTTTGCAACCTTCCAGTAGGTGCCTGCCCATCACTTCTTTCAAGCCCCAGGGTTCTGTGTGTACTGAGCTGTATCTATGCCATTTGATTCTGGTGTAAATTCCACCTCACTCTAAAACTGAGGCATGATGTAACTAGGCTCTTCAAGCACTTACCTGTGTAGGACATTAGTGGCTGCTGTGAGGAGTCCACCAGTTCAGGGCCTTTACCTAGTTTGTCCTCTACAGCATACCATCGCCCATTAGGACACTGATGAGCATGAATTCTTGGCATCCAGCACATTAAGAAATACTCTTATAAGTTCTCATACTTGGCTAAGTTGGGGGTTTATCCTGCAAAATGGGTTTGAACCTGGTTTGTATATGACTGTAATCCTGTCCCTTCATCAGTTTAATTAAAAAGAAACTATTTGTGAATTTCATGCAATCTATTTTTTATAATACTCAACTCATCCCTCTAATTAGTTTCTTTTTAAAAATTACTTAAATTTATCTTTATTTTATGTGTATGAATTTTGCCTATATGTATGTAAGTGCACCTGTGTGTACAATGCCCATGGAGGCCAGAAGTGGGTGATAGACCCCCTATAACTGGAGTTATGGGTGGTTGTTAGCTGCCATGTGGGTGCTGGGAACTGAACCTGGATCCCTCTACAAGGGTAGCCAGTGCTCTCAGTCACTGAGCTGTCTTTCCAGCCCCCAGTTTAATTCTTTAGTCAGTATGTCCCTGAGAATAGACTGTTGAGTTAAAAAAAGAAATTATTTTCTTATTTTTGTACAGGAGCGCAGGCTGGTCTCAAACTCTCGAGCCTCCTGCCTAAGCCTTCTGAGTGCCGGGCAATAGGCTAAGCAGTGACTGCCAATACAAAGCTTTCTGACACACCTCCTTCCCAAAGCAGAGAAACCTGACAGTCCAACCTGAACTAAGACAGGGAACCCAAGGTTTCTACACTCAGTTGCCCCAGTTACAGTGAAGGACTGTTGGACTAAAACCTGGATTCCTGGGCCACTGAGATGGCTCTGAGGGTAAGTGCTTGCTGAGCCTCATAATAAGTTTGATAGCCAGAATCCACAGTGTGGAAGAGAACCAACTCTCAAAAGCTGTCCTCTGCCCATGCCATGGCACATGCACCTGAACTCACGCTACCATGTGAAAATACCCCATGATTCTCACTCAGAACATCACCAGAGAGGCATAAAAGTAAAAGAATACACTTCTTGTGGACTGGCAAAATTGCTCAGGGGTATAAGTGCTTGCTGTATAAAGCTGACAACTTGTTCAATACCCGGAAGCCACACAAACATGTTGAAAGTGGTATTTCAGACAGGAGAATCTGTGGCAGGTATGCATATATTTCTGCCTCAAAAGGCGGAAGAGGCCAGCAAGATGGCTTAGTGGCAAGGCATGGTGGTGCACACCTTTAATCCCAGCACTCAGGAGGCAGAGGCAGGTAGATCTCTATGAGATTGAAGCCAGCCTGGTCTACATAGTGAGTTCTAGGCCAGCTGGGGCTACAGGGAGACCCTGTCTCAAAAGGACAAAAACAAAAAACCTCAAGCAAATGAAGACAGACATGTAGGCAGCTGGAGAGATGGCTCAGAAGTTAAGAGTGCATATTGTTCTCTCAGAGGACCCAAGTTAGGTTCCCAATACCTGTGTCAGGCAGCTCACAACTGCTTGAAACTCCAGATCCAGGGGATCTGACATCCTCTTCTGGCCTCCAAGAGCACCTGCACTCATTTACACAAACCTCATACTGACACACATAATTCAAAATAAAAGTGAAAAAAAAAAAAGGAAAAGAAAAAAATAGGGTCAGCAAGATAAACCAAACTAGAGGACCCGAGTTTGATCCCTGGAACCTGCATAATGGAAGGAGAGCACTAACTCCCACAAGTTGTCCTCTGACCTCTTTAACGACACACTAAAGAAAAATACAAAATTTAAAAATTAAACGAGACATAGAGACATTTGCATTAGGACATTTATCTGGGAAGATTCTTTTGGACGTGACCCCAAAAGCGTAGCCAAATGACATAAAGGATTACATCCAGCTAAATAGCTGAAGAAGACAGTTTACAGAGTGGAGAAAATGTGAATCATCTTAACAATAGATTAAATTCCAAAACACATAATTAACAACAACACACACATACACACACTGAGTCACTGGGACCTAGGAGTCCTTGTTTCAAAAAACAAAACTGCAGGTCATGGTGGCTCAAGCCTGTTATCCCAGGGCTTATAAGGCAAAGGCAGGAGAATACACATTTGAAGCCAGACTGAACTATATAAACTGTCTCAAAAAAAAAAAGAGGGGCTGGAGATATGGTTCAGTGGTTAAGAGTACTGACTGCTCTTGCAGAGGACTTGGGTTTGGTTCCCGCAACCCATATAGAATAGCAGCTAATAACTGTCCATAACTCCAGTTCCAGGAGATCCAGTGTCCTCCTCAGGCCTCTGGGTATTGCACACATGTGGTGCACTTGGATCCATGTAGGCAAAACATACATAAAAATAAAACCAAGACACAAAGCAAAAAACAACTAATGCTACTATCATTTTTCAATCATCTGATTTAAAAAATAGGTGACCTGAATAGATACTTCCCAACAGAAGAGATTACAAACAGCCAACACATATATGAAAAATATGACTAATTATGAGAAATAAAACTAATGATATAACCTTACTTTAGTTAAAATGGCTGGTATGAAAAAGAAAAAATGACAGGATGTACAGAAAAAGGAGTGCTTATAACACTGCTGGAGTAAGGCATATTTGATGGAGAAGAGTGTGGAGGTCCTCAAAAAACTACAAATACAACTGCCATATGATCTAGCAATCCAGGGAAATGAAATCAGTGCGTCAAAAAGCCAGCTGCACACCCATGTCTCCTGCTGTTCTGTTCACATTTCCAGGTGAGAGCACTGTATAACGAAAGCAGGGTATTCCAAAGTAGACAATTAGAAAATTCCTGTCAGTTGAAGCTGATTACAATTCTACATTAAGAAAATGGGAATGCCAAATTCTGCATTCAATTGGCTGTTGGATTAAAAAAAAAAAGATTTTCAGGGCTAGAGGGATGGCTCAGCAGTTAAGAACACTGACTGTTCTTGCAGAAGACCCAGGTTTGAATCCCAGCACCCACATGGCAGCTAAAATGTATCCGTAACTCCAGTTCCAGGGCATCCAACAGCCTCTTCTGTCCTCCCTGGGCACTGCATGACATGGGTGCACTTACCTACATGCAGGCAATACACGCATACACATAAAATAAAAATAATAAAATATTTTTTAAAAATTTCTCTTAATTATGTGTGTGTATGTTTCTAAGTATGTCCACCAGTGAGTGCAGGTACCCTTGGAGTCTAGAAGAGGATCTAGGATCCCCTGAATCTGGAGTTAGAGGGGGTTTGAGTCACAGATGTGGGTGCTGGGAACAGAACATGTATTCTCTGGAAGAGCAGGAAGTGCTTTTAACTCCTGAGCCATTATTCCAGTCCCTGGCTAGTTTTTTTCTGTATGGTTGTTATCTTTAATTTTTATGTTGACTTATGCAGACTTACTTTCCTATCTACAAAACACTAGTGAGAAATGGGATGAATTCCTAAAGTCTGTTTTTTTTGTCTTTTATTCTTTTCAGTCTTTTTGAGCGGTCTCCTGGTAGCCCTACCTACCCTGGAATTCCCTATGTAGCTCAGGCTGCCTCTGCCTCCTGAGTGCTTGGATGCTTGGCTCCTAAAGTCTGTTTTAACATGTTCAATAGAAAGGCATGTTCCACTTTAAACATCAAAAAGATGAAATTATCAATTTTTTTTTTTTTGTCTTTTTGAGACAGGGTCTTCCTGTAGCCCCAGCTGGCCTGAAACATACTCTGCAGACCAGGCTGGCCTTGATCTCACAGAGATAAGCCTGCCTCTGCCTCCTGAATGCTGGGATTAGAAATGTATCAAATTTTAAACCAATTCTAGTTTTTTTTTAATTTTTATTTTTCAGATAATACGGTCTTGAAATTATAATGCTCCCCAACATCAGGATTACTGGCATGTTCAATCATGCTGCATGGAGAGAGAGAGAGAGAGAGAGAGAGAGGAAACTCATTCAAAGCTGACCTTGAATTCCTAATCTTCCTGCCTCTACCCCCCAAGTGCTGGGATTATAAGCTACCTAATTCATACAATAGATAAGCATTTGCTAGGAAGGTGTTTTTGTCTTTTGAAAGCATATCATGTATTGAATTTAGATCAATGGAGGTGGAAGAATCATGAAACAGGTTAAGTCAAATCATATTCTTATAAACATTATGATAAATCTATACTGTAGTAGCAGCAGGTATTTAACCTGGGTGTTCATTGTCAAGGGTGTTCATTGTCAGATAAAAACAATGAAAATGTCACACACACACAAACATTATTTGGCCATAAAAAAAATTCTGTCCTTTGCAACATGGACAGAACTGAAAGCCATTGTTAAATGAGGTAGCTGAGGCAGAGAAAGACAAATATTTCATGTTACCACTTACATGTGGCACTAAAATGCTGATCATAGTGAAGTCTATAACAGGGATATGAAGAGATGATTAGGAAGAATAATTTCTGTGTGACCCTAGGAATCCCAGGATCTTGTGCATGCCACTAAGTTGTATCTCTAGCCCTTCTAATATTCTGTAGCCCAGAAAAATAACTAAGTTGACAACAATTATATATTTCAAAATACTTCCTAAATACAAAGAAATGACAATGATAAATGTATGGGCTGATGAGTGTACCAATTACCCTGATCTGTCTAGTGTGGTACACATTACACATGTGCACCACACTAGACCCCACAAATATGCACAATTACGTGTCAACAAAAATAACCAAACAAAGCTCTCAGGTACTTACCTGGGGTGTTATCCAGCAGGCACTGAAGAAGAACCTCCCCCTTCTCTAAGACACTCTCTGTCAGGGACTGATGTTCATCCACGTCTTTCTTAAATTGCTTAAGACATCAGGAAAAGAAAATAGAAAAGCTTCAGCACTGCTGCCTGTAAAAGTTGTTTTTAAAGAACACAAGACCGATAGCCTGGCTTCTCTAATGTAGAAGACACACCCACCACACCATCAGAATTCCTCAGTGTACTTGTTTTAATGGCAGCTCCTTTGAGCCAGGGGCAGTATCATCAGTGGTGTGGTACTGTTTTGTTGAGAAAGGGTTTTGCTGTTTAGCTCCAGCTGATCTTAAACTTGGGGTCTTCTTGCCTCAGTTTCCCTAGTGTTAAGATTTACAACAAGCCTGTATCATCATGTTCGCTCAACCCAGCAAAGGCTGGCTCTTGGAGTTGGGGATTCTTGTGCCCCACCGTATAGGGTTCTCTGACTCGAACGTATGGAATTGCCAAGAAAATTACACCCTTTGAATGAACCTGACACATAAGAGCTATAAGCAGTCTGCCACTACTGTGATCTTGCAGAGCTATGGTCTCTACCTTCATGTCCTCCCTTGTCTGCGATACCTCTGCCTCAGGAAAGGGAGAATTTCCAAGCAGCAGTCTCCTCACAGTTATCAGGCCTTATAGCTGATTTTTTTTTTTTAAATATATGTTGTTCTTTAATTGCTAAGTCAAACCCACGACATGGGGCAGAACTCAGTGCTTAATACTTTTGCGGTGCTAATTTTACTCTTGGATTTGTTTTGTCTTTAGTACTCGTTTACCCTGATACCCCTGTTCATTGTCCTGTACACTAAGTGGTTTAGATGTTGCCTCAACCCCACTGTATTAAGATTGAAATACAAGTATATGAGAAGATGACTGACAGTTAAAATGGGAGCACACATATATGCTCAGTCAGTCTAGGTCTAAGCAAGAGCCGAAGAACTCATACACACACACCAGTCACGCACCATGCTGAGGAAGTGTCAGTAGTGTCATCTCTGTGACACAGCACGTTTAAGGTACACAAGAAGGCTAAGCATTTCTGATAAGCAGGAGCAATTCTTGGCTCAGATCCTAACTCTCCACAAAAGATGGCTGCAGCTGGCTAGTCTGGAAGTTGAATTACAGAGGGTGGTATGAAGACTAAAATGGAGAAAATGGAGGTGGTCTATTTGCACCAACTCAGCCAGGCCAGGAACGGCCAGTGAGATGAGTCCAATAGGACTACTCTCCTCAGCAGTGCTGGCCCTGGAAGTCCCAGGGCCAGGCTCTTCAGTCACAGATATGCATGCAGTCATACCATGTCTGCATACAGAGAAGCCTCACTCAGCCTTCCTCTCCTTCCTCTAGCTCCTCTCTATACTGTAGCTAACAGCATTCCTACCAGGATGGGGCAATTGGCTAGCTGTATTTTAGTTGGTTTCAGGACAGACAGCAAAGGCCTTCACCTCCACCTAAGGTGTGGTCCCAGTGATGCTAAGGCAGCACAGCTTAAGAAGTAAATCACCATTTACTGGGGCCACAAAGATCTGTCCCTGAAAACCCCTTCCAGTCTAGCAGCAAGCCTAGGCCCGATATCCTGTTTCTGCTTCTTCCTGAAGGGATTAAAAAGGCCCAACCGCATGAGAGAAAAGTCAGCCAAGGTTAACAGAGGTAGCAGTTACATTTATCCTCCAATTCAATATACTTTAAAAAATATTATTTCTATTTCATGTGTATTGCCTGCATGGATTTAAGTGCACCTGTGTCGTGCTATGCCTGTGGAGGTCAGAAGAGGGCATTGTATTCCTCTGGAACTGGAGTTACAGATGGTTGTTAGCCACCATGTGGGTACTGAGAACCAAACCCGGGTCCTCTACAAGAGTGGCCAGTCCTCTTAACCACTGAGCCATCTCTCCAGCCCCAAGTTCAATATACTTTTAGTTTAGTGTTACATTAACTAAAACTCATCTGATAGATATGAACTACAGGTATAAAAACCTTCATGAAAACAAGACAAAAAACAAAACTAAATCCTAAACACTGAAGCAAACTGGTGTTACATTTTGGGCTAAATGAGGCTTTTCAAAATGCCCCACCTATGTCTGAACTCAGAAGTTTCAGCTCAGATCCATAAATAAAAACACAGTCCAAAAAAACTGTTGGTGGTGATGACATGTTCTGTACCTACATTGCCCCTGCACACTTGTAGTAACTGGGCAGCTAGTACAACTGAAAACGCCAAATCTTTACTTTTACTTAAATAGCCATATGTGACTTGTGGCTCTATAATCACACAGGCCTCTAACGATAACCTCTGAAACACTGGGAAAACTATAATGCAAGTCATTCTAAAGTATTTCTGTTTCAACACAAATAGAACTAGTCTCTATTTGGCCTAGACATTAACTCACATTTTACACTGAAGCAAACGTGTTAGATTTTGGGTTAAATCTCTTTTCAAAATGCCCCTCCCCCATGTCTGGTTCAGTATTCAGAATTTGAAAAGCACCTCTCATTACATTTCAGATAAACACTCAACTGAGTTTATAAGATTCTAGTAATTTGAGAGGCTGGAGAGATGGCTCAGTGGTTAAGAACACTGGTTGTTCTTGCAGAAGACCCGGGTTCGAATCCCAGCACCCACATGGCAGCTAACAAGTGTCCATAACTCCAATCCCAGGGGATCCGACAGCCTCTTCTGTCCTCTGAGGACATTGCATGACATGGGTACACTTACCTACATGCAGGCAATACACTCATACACATAAAATAAAAATAATAAAATATTAAAAAAGATTCTAGTAATTTGAAATTTATTCTGTAATCAAGTTATTTAACTACCACTCTTGTTCTTGTACAAGCCAGAAGCTACAACTACATATTACCCGGTAAAGCTGCAGAGAAGACTTGAGACCTGTAAGACTGGACCTGGGTGGAGAACCAAGGTCAGCAACATCTGTGACATTATACAACCAGTGGATCAACTCTTCTAGCTGACAGCAAAATGTCTGTGGAAACAAGAGAACAAATGGTAGGCTGAGCTGCAGCTCAGTGATAGTGTCTGCCTAGCATGCCGTACTGAGTGAACTGCTCATTGCCTTATCCAGAGGCTAAAATTATCAGGGTTAGGGGGGACACACGTACTTTAAGAGTTCTTCTCAAAGGAGCACGTGTCCAAGATCGCCCCTTCTACCCCATGACTCCAGACCTCCCTCTGCCAGGGAAAAGAAAACCCTATGTCTTCCCTCAGCCAGAAATGACAAGCTCAGACAACCCAGCCCTGCAGGTGAAGAGTGGAACTGCAAAGGATCAGGGACAAGAAACAGCTCAGAAGAGTAGGCTTGCCATGCCGCCAATTCTTTATCGCAAACTTTCTATGCAATAAAGTGGATGCATTGTACTGCTTGAGTCACACTGAAAATGCTGTACCGTATCTCAGTTTTGTATCACCAACATACACATTACTTCACCAGAAAAATAAAACCCACTTCTGGTCAGGTTAAAGTCCTCCTCAGGTGCTAGGGACACCTTGGTAGCACAGGCCACAGGCCATCTGGCACGCTACAACGTGGGTATGCATATGCCGAACATGCTGCTCGGCGGAAGACTGGAGTGGGGCTCGAAGACAGGACAGGCATACCTTGGGATTATGCAACCCTGACAAGAACTGTTTCACTCAATCTGCCCACACATCTCAAAGAGGTGGTTCTCTATACAGGTCTCTATATTAGCCTGAATAGGGACATGAACCCTGAACCCTCAGATTAAAAGTCTGATGCTCTACTGATTGAGCTACCCAGGCCCTCTGCCTTTTTCTTGCAATCATAAAATGAGAACACCGTCTTTATTTGGGGGAGGGGGGTGTTGAGACAGGCTCTCACATTGGAGCCCAGGGTGGCTTATCCAACGATCTTCCTGCCCTGGCCTCCCAAGGGTTGAGATTACATGGCAGCCACCACACCCAGCTTGAGAACAATACTTACTGGTGAGAACAGTGAGGACTAACGTGATACAACACACTACCTGACCCAACCAGAGTGCTCAGTTGCTATCAGTAGATTTCACTGTACCGTCAGTGGTCTGGGGGAAGAGGACTCAAGATGAATCCTCTCCGAGTTGAACATCTTTACCTGCACACACTGCACCAGAGAGGCTCTGTCCTGCTCCCCTGCTTTCCTGGGAAGTTTCTCTCTGACATCTGCCTCTGAGAAAGGCCACTTGTCCGACACAGCTGGCAAGGAAGGATGAGTTTTCAGCAGTCCAGATGAGACTCCAAGGGCCTGGCTGCTCATCAGAACTGTGGAGTCCCGGGGGTGGATGGAGTGCAGGAAGCAGGAGTTCTGGCCTTCAGGCCCCCGGAAGGCAGTACTAGAAGGACGCTGCCTTTGGGTGGAGTCCACTGTGGGGGAGGCTGGCTCACCACTGTCTGACCCTCCCAGGGAGCTCTGCCCCTCAGCAGCCATGGTGGGCAGGCTCACAAAGGTGGGAACTGCACCTAGATAGGAAACTAAACTAGAAACCTGTGTCAGGCGGGTGGGCAGGGCAAGGTACTCATCATCACAGTCCATCTCCTCTTCAGATTTCCATGTAGGCTTCACACAGGCAGGGTGCCAAACACTCTGGCTGGCTCTTTTTTCCCTCTCTGGTCTGAGCAAGGGCAGCCCTTGCTCCCTTGTCCTCAGTTGGGGAGAATCCACCTTGAAGTGCTTGCCCGTTGGTAGATAGTCTTGTGTATCCCTCAGGGCTGCCTCTCTGCTCTCCCAAGGGACACTGTCAGTGTCTGGGGCTTTAGGGGTTGATGATGCAAGCTGGTTCCATGATGCCAGGCCTATGCTGCCTTGCTTCTGGGGTACTCCCAAGGGCCATTGCTTAAGGCATGGCTCTCTGGCACCAGAAAATGGCAAAGCAGGCACCTCTGCTGATGAACAGTTAGGTGAAACATTAGTGGGTGACTTGAGGGTGCTTGCTGGTGAGACAGAGAAGCTGTCCAGGTCTACACCTGAGTCCTGCATGACAGGGTCAGTCAGCACATGACTTTCAGATTGTTTTGGGAGCTGAGGTCCAGGCCTCAGTGGGTAAGTATAGTTGAGCAGATCTTCATACTCTTTATTTGGGTTCCAGAGTGGGGAGTGGCGGTCAGGGGAAGGAGGCAGAGAATCTGGTAGCACACAGGCCCAGTACTCAGCCTGGAAGGAGAGCTGTCTCCTACCCAGGCCAATAACATCACCCCCAGAAGCCTTAGGCTGTGGTGACCACCGAGGCCCTGGCCCCGCCACAGAGGAGGCTCCCGGAGGTACAATCAGCTCCAGGGAAGAGACCTTGGCAAAGGAACCACTTGGAGGCTCTACCTTCTCTTGGTGATCCAGAAAACTGCTGCCTGTGGAGGAGGCAGAGATGTCTCTGCTAGAGAGCTGAGGAGCACCTGGGTTCTCTGTGGACTTCCATGGTGAGAGGAAAGGGAAACCTGAGACATGAGGCTGCTGGCTGAGGTCCAGCAATGGAGGTGAATCTACTGGGGATGCGTCATCTTGAGTACTAGAATTCTGTCCTGAGCAGACAGCTGTACTTCTGAGGACATTAACACTCTGAAGTGTGCTCTGGGAGGCAGAAAGCTTGGTCTCCTTGGCCTACAACAGTAAGAGGGGAAAAGGCACTGAGGTGAAAATAAGCAAACTTAAAAATTTATTATTTTTATTTCATGTACGAGTATATTGCCTGCCTGTATATAAGTGCACCCGTGTTGTGTAATACCCATGGAGGTCAAAAGAGGGCGTTGGATTCCCCTGGAACTGGAGTTACAGATGGTTGTTAGCTGCCATGTGGGTACTGAGAATCGAACCCAGGTCCTTTACAACAGCAGCCAGTGCTCTTGACCACCAAGCCATCTCTCCAGCAACCCCCCACCTTTTTAAAGAACATTTTTCTTTAGAAGGTTAGGGAAGGAGGGGACTGGGGAAAGTAGATAACAGAAAGTAAAAATGAGGATTCTATAGTGAAACCTACTTGTATACTAAACTAAGGAAAGAGAAAGGTTTGCTTGTATGCCCTGAAAGTATACAGGGAAGATCTCAAAATCAAGTCTGTGCCATAGGCAAGGAAGGATCAGACAAGTCATCTGTTGCTAGTGGTCAGCACCAACTCATCCTAACCTGGTAAGTCTCCTGCAATGTAGTCTTAACCCCAATCTTTTCAATGCTATTCTCTCACTTTGTGAGAGCAGAACTCAAGATAGTTCTACACCAGATGCTGGAAATCACTGCTTCTTTGAGAATGTGTTTCAGACACGTGAGACCCTCCACCACTGTCACTGAAAGGAGATCCTGCAGGCCCTACCAGGGAGCACCCTGTTTAGCTTACATACCAGTGACAAAAAAAAAAAACGTCATTCTGGATTTTTAATCTACTTGCTAAGAATTCACCAGAGGGAGGCAGGTTAACCAATTTTGGAACCGGACAGATCTGTTGTCAACTCCTAATGCCACCATCTTCTACAAGGAGAACTGTGAGTATCACTTCACTGCCCTGTAGAGTGGACACAGCAACAGCATTGCCTCTCTAAAACTCACTGAGCCTTTAAAGTACTTGTAAGAGCCCATCTCTAGCAGGCATGGCAACAATGGCAATAGTAATCAATCTCAAAATCAATCGATCAATCAATCAATCAATCAATCAATCAATCAATCATCACCAAGTCACTTCTGGGCTCACAGGCCTTTCCCTGATCCTTGCTCTCAGCCAGGTAGGCCCCAGGTGCTATTTTCTTCCAGTCATGCTCATAGCCTCTTCACAGGATGCAGCTCCACAGGGAGAGCCAAGTGCTAAGGCCACTATGGCACAGATCAAAGCTGTTCCCAGAACTTGGCAGGCACAACACAGTAGGCTGTCAAGAGCCAGGAGGGACAACAGATCATCTATACAGGTCAGCTAGAACAAGGGCTTAGAAGATTCAGTCTTACACCCTGGGAGGATTCCCTGCCTATTCCTTGCCACATGGGGAGGGAGCTGCCTTACTGTCATAGTCAGGGAGGCCAGAGACGTTGTTGCCTATTACAGGGCCTTCAACGTTTTGACCAGTCCAAGGGGATTTCAGTCTGGGAACCCACAGCTGACTAAGTCTCCCCAAGACCCCCTTAAAAGCCCTTATATCACCAAGTCAGAAAGAGGACAAGGCTCCCCTTGTTATAGACCTCTGGCCCTAGTCCTCAGGGTGGCAGGTGGCTGATTAACTTGTCACTGGTCCTTAAAAGATCCCCAGTTACTCTTTGGGAACCAGGCAACATCCTACACAGAGCCCCCTGCTAGTCCCAAGGTCAGCTTTCCAAGTAAATCTGTAAAACAGCTCATACCCAGGTTGCCCTAACTCCTACCCTACAGTGACTCCAGCAGGATGTAATAGGTGAGGAAATGCAGCATACACTCAGCACCTACTTGGCTTCCCATGGAGTGCAAAAGGTCTCCAGTCCCCATGCTGGCAGGAGGAAGTGGGCCACTGAGGGCAAGCTTAGACCCATCTGCTACAGGCTCTCTGCTGGCAACGTGGGCCCGTGACAGGAACGCTCCAGAGGTGCAGGCAGGGTCAGCCTCAGTCCTCCACACCGGTGCTCCCTCAACTTCCAGATGTGGAAGCTGCTGCGGCTCAGGACCCTGGGGTAGCAGGTCCTGCTCCCCACAGTTCCACCTGCCACAAGACTGGGCCTTCGTTTCGACAGATGCTTCTACCTCTGCCTCATCTTCACCCAGAGCCATCGAGCTGTCCCTAAATCAGGTTTCCCCTGAAGCTTTCAGGAGCCTATATAACAAGAAGGAAAAAGAAAAACAGATTTCCTATACTTATGTCCAGAAAAACTGCTTTTTAGTGAAGACAAACATTTTTCTGGTCAAAGAAAAAGAAAAAAAAAAAAAAAGAAAGAAAACGGTGCTCAGGACAGTGCTGAGGTCTGGAGTCCTCAGCCCCAAACCCTTTCAGCGGGGATACATAAGTACACAACCTTGTCTTCTGCTCACTGTGGTACCACCTCGAGAATCAGGTCAGGTGGGACCAAGCAGAAGGCTTGCCTCACAACACAAGCTAATCAGTCAAGAAGCAAGGCAGTAATAGAAGAAAACCAAACAACTTCATTATGAGCCAGATGATCCAGATGGAGGACCTATGTTCAAAGGCCATCTTCCCTTCTAGAAGTCAACTGACAGGCAGTTTATAATGAAGACTGATTGCAGATTAGAGGGTGCCTTCTCACAAGTGGAGATCTGTGACCCAAGGACACACACCTGATCCTAACTGCCTAGTCACATGAAGCTTTTCAGTGTTCAGATCTCAGGAACAAATCATTTCCTTGAGATACTTTTCTGATTAGTTTCCCTATATGCTGCTCTGAATGATACATGTGGACAGACTGGAGGGCTAAGTGCTCAAAGCCCTCTTGTTGCTCACCAAACTTAGGTGAGGCGAAACCAAGTTGCAAACTGGCCTGGCCTCAATGTGATGCTTCACAGATCCAATTTAGACACAAGGCTTGAGTCCTGCCTAAGTCACCTCTTTACCCTACCCCTTGGTCCCAACCTCATTAAGAGGCCCAGATGCCTCTCACCACGAACAGCCCTCAGTGGTCCTCTTGTGGCAATGGCTTGTTGGTAGGCAGCTTGAGTTTGGCTCTGTCCTTTCTGTTCTAGAGGATAGCAGTCCAGGCATGCCTAGACCTTCTTGGGCCCAGGAGAGGCTTTCCATTCTTCTTCGCTCTGCCTGGTAGAGGCAGGAAACTACTGGAGCAGGAATCATACTCAGGTTGTGGATTAGGTGGGCCCTTTCATTCTAATGACCAATGACCAGAAACAGAGATGAGCATTCCTCCTAACGCTGGCTTGGTATATGCTGGCCTTGGCAGCCATGGGAAGCCATGGAAAGCTGAGTGATAACAGGGTGAGTTCATGTGAGAAAGACAGGGAGAGCAACCTAGGCAGATTCCTGAGAGCGCACTTAGGAGGAGGACAAGAATCAGAGCTGGATCTGCAAACATGAAGTGAGATGAGGCTGAGCCACAAGATGACAGGAAGAAGACTAAGCCTGAATGAGCACAGGAAGAGACAGGGGAACTGAGTACACAGAATGCCTGCAGCCACCTGCAGAACACTGGGGCCAACCTCAAAGATCAAACTTGGACAGAAATAGCCAATGTCCTCAGAGACCAGAGGCAATGCATGGAAAAAGGGAGTTGCTGGTAGCAACAGGGGAAGCTGCCAAGGAGGGAGGTGGTCACAGCTGCAGGCTTATCCTGCTTGGCTCAAGTGCCAGGAAATGTAAGCTGGGTGGGGCCCTGCATGTGCCCAGAAATCACCCCATGTTGGAATATGAGTCTTTCCCTACCCTACCTGGCTACATGAGGCATCAGACCACATCTGAGGAGACCTCAGAGAAGAGCATATACTTTAAATGCATTCTCACAGGCACCAGATCCAGCAGAAGCTAATCAGAATGCCCCCCCCCGCCGTAGATACAGCACCCAACTTTTCATATAAATCAAACAAAATATTTACCACTGGATACTCCCACAGACATAGGTAAGCAGTGCTGATAGTTTTTGTGTATGACTTCTATCATGATGCACATGCAACCACAAATATTTTCACACACATACACTTTAAAGGTGGTAAACAGAAACTGGAGAAGTGGCTCACTGGTTAAAAGCACTTGCTAGCACTCACACTGGGTAGCTCACAACTGCCTGCAACTCTAGGTCCAGGGGATCCAAAGCCACCTTCTGGCCTCCAAGGGCACCTGCACTCACATGACAGAAAGACACACATACATAAAACAGAGTAAGAAAATATCTGGGCGGGGGGGGGGGGGGGCAAACCATTCAAAACCTTTTCTTCTGGGCTTAGAGAGATGGCTCAGTGGTTAAGAGCACTTACTGCTCTTCCAAAGGACCTGGGTTGAGTTCCCAGCACCCACATGGCAGCTAATACCTATTACTCCCATTCTAAGGGATCACATATGGTACACTTAAATAGAAGCAGGTAAAACATTCATATACACAAAATAAAAGTAAAATCTCTAATCTTGTGCATGCTATGGAGTCAAGTCCAGCACTGTGTGACTCTAGAACCCAAGTTCTTTATGAAACAAAAAGGATCAAGTAATGAAAACAGCAAAAGGCAGAAGGCAGGAGAGGGAGAAGAGTGGTGGTGGAGAGACAGTGACTAGGTCTGCTAAGATAGACATTTCCATGGAACCACATCTGCACCTTGTGGCACTTTAAGAAACTGCACATGAAGACTGTACCAGCTTTCGACAATCACAGGACTCAGCTAACCCTATGAGCTGGAGAATTTAGGGTAAAGTCTGAATCTACCTCCCATATTCTAGCTGCTCCTACTTCCTCCATTCCTAGGAACTCCCTCAAGGGCCACAGCTTCCTATGTTCCTAACAAATGTGTTAAGACTTGGTCCTGCAGGGCTGGAGAGATGGCTCAGTGGCTAAGGGACCTGGTTACTCTTGCAGAGGACTCAGGTTCAGTTCCTAGTACCCACATGGTGGCTAACAACTTTTTATAACTCCAGTTCAAGGGGATCCGACCAAGTTTTTGTATTAGTTGCTTGTCTCAAATACCTGACAAAAGCAACTGAAGGGAGGATCTATTCTGGATCACAGTCTAAGACTACATCATGGTAGGAAGTCATGGCAGGAGGTTGAGGCAGCTGGTCACATTGCAAAACAGAGAACATGAGTGTTAGTACCCAGCTCATGAGCTTTTCTCCTTTTCATTCATTCTAGGACCCCTGGTCATAGAAGGGTACCACCCAGAGTTAGGGTGGGTCTTTCTATCTCAGTTGATGTAATCTAGACAGTCCCTCACAGGCATGCCCAGAGGCTTGTCTCCAAGGTGATGCTAGATCCTGTCAAGTTGACAATATTAACTGTCACACATGCATCACAGTTTATTTATGAGAGAACCAAGACACATGCATGTGAAAATAGTGAGTCTATGATGATGCCTTTCAAACGGTACATGAAATGCTACCAAATCAAGAAAGGGAAAAATTAGGGAAAAAGATAATCAACAGACCCAGGTGATGGAAAGTGCACATATTTGGGTTCCTAGTCTGACTCCTACATTTACCAGGTCAGCATTTGTAATTCCACATGAAGGTTTGGTCCTTATTTCTATAGATTCTAGATCTTACACATCATCTCTCTAACCTAAGAGGCATGAGTGGGCTTGGGGTTTCTGCTTGGGCACAGACGCCCAGTGTTGCTTCACAGAGCAACCCATGAAGTCTGGGGCCTCAACTGTGAAACTTGTCTTCATAGGAGTCACAGGTACAGAGATGAATGCCACAAACACCCAGCAGAACACAGCCAACAAGGCAGACAGAGGAAAGGGCAGCAGGGCTCTGCAAGGCATGTAGCTCCAAGGTTTCTGGGAGAATTGTCAAGGCAGAAGCCAGTAAAGGTAGGATGGTGACATGAAAGGGGATGGAGACACACACAGGGGAGGACAACAGAGAAAACAGGCAGAAGAGCTAGCTCTGAGCTGGCCTCTGGCAGGCTGGGTAGAAGGAGAACTGTGGCCATAGGTTTGAAAAAGGGAGAGGCAGGTGATCAGTGGTCAAAAGCAGCTGCTATTCTACTGCTTTCTCTGGCTATAGAAAGTCCAAGAACTCCAGGCCTCCAGCCTGGCTACCCTTCCCTGTGGGGCAGGCCACCTTTCTCTGGTAAAATCAATGCATGACTATAGCATCTCCTGGGCTTAGCTCTTTCCAGGACCCTGGGGCATCAATATACTCTCTCCTCTTCCCCCTTGGGCTACTTCTTTAAGTTTTCAGAGGGTCCACAGAATGGAAGGGTACCAAGGGCCCTAGAGGAATCTGTGGGTGGGAAGGACAGTGGTCAGACTGTCCTTTCACTTACTCAGCCACATGCTTGTTGGCAGGCAGACTAGAATTACCAAGCAGTCTCATAGCAAGGCTGATCTATCTTATTAGAAGTCTGCAGATGGCTTTGGAGACATGGAACTGACGATCTGTAAGGAGCCTGGTTGAGCTCCCAGCCACCCCTCCTCTCAACCCCAAGCTCTCCAGTTTCTTGAGTAGTCAGCAGACTATAAGGCTCAAAGAATAAGGATGCCAGGGTCTGAACAGCTTGTCAACTTGTTCAATTTTTGCCATAAATTGGAAAAAAAAAAAAAAAAAACAGCTCTCGGGAAGACAAGTTGCTGCTACAGTTAGTGGAAGCTGTACCCAGAGACCATAGGGTTGCAGTCCCACAGGATCTGCTCCTACTGCATTGATGCCTTTCGGGGAGGCAACCAGGCTACTATCTATAATCCCAGCACTATGTTCAAGGGCAGTCAGGGCTACTTGTTTCAAAAACAGGGAGAGCAAGATGGCTCAATGATGGCTTAAAGTCACTTGCCATTAAGTCTGGCTCTTGCAGAGGACCCGGGTTCAAGTCCCAGCACCCACATGGCTGCTACAAACCATCCTTAACTCCAGTTCCAGCTCCAGGGGAATCTGAAGCCCTCTTCTGACCTCCATGGGCACTGCACGACATGGGTACACTCACATACATGCAGGCAATATACTCATACACATTAAAAAAAACAAAACAAAACTGTCACTCGCTTCTGGGCATTGATTCAACCCTAGCACTCTGGAGGCAGAGGCAGGCAGATTTCTGTGTTTGACCCCAGTCTTATCCATATAGCGAGTTCCAGGCCAGCCAGGGCTATAGTGAGACCGTCTCAAAAACCAAAACCAAAACAAATATAAAAGAATGCCCGTCCTGTTTGAAGAACCCATGGGAAGATGTCTTAGTAGCAGAAATGACGTTTCTCCTGAACAGGTTCTTTTCACTTCTAAGTATAAAAAAATATTTTGCCAGGTGTGGTGGTGCATGCCTTTAATCCCAGCACTTGGGACGCAGAGGCAGGCAGATCTCTGAGTTCCAGGCCAGCTGGGGTTACTGGGAGACCCTGTCTCAAAGACCGAAAAAAAAAAAAATTTTTTTTTTAATTTAGCTGGGCATAGTGGTGCAGGCCTTCAGTTCTAGTACTTGGGAGGCAGAGGCAGAGGCAAGAGGATCTCTGTGAGTTAGAGGTCACCCAGGTCTACATAGTGAGTTCCAGGCCAGCTAGGGCTACAGGGAGACCTTCTCTCAAAAAGACCAAAAAAATTCTTTTGTTTATTATTTTAATTTTTTGTGCATGAGTGTATTGCCTGCATGTATGTATGTAAGTGCACCCATGTGTCATGCAATACCCATGTTGGACGAGGTTGTCAGGTGCCCTGAAACTGGAGACACCACATGGTTGCTGGGAATAGAACTTGGGTCTTCTGCAAGAACAGCTAGTGCTCTTAACCACTGAGCCATCTCTCCAGCCCTCATTTTTAAGTATTAATAAAACTGGTAAAAAAAAAAATATTTTGTTCTTCTTTGCTTTGGCTGCTAGAAAACTTAAGAGTTAAAGAGACAACTGTACCCAATAAAAATGTGTAAGACAGAGGCACTCCCCTTTTGTGCTGATCTCCTCAACTACATACTTTCAACCTATCTGTTTCCATTGCTTTTATTAAAAAATCTTGTTACAGGGACTAGAGAGATGGCTTAGCAATTAAGAGCAATCCAGGTTCGGTTCCCAGGACACACATGGGGTGGCTCATATCCATTTAACTCCAGTTCCAGGGGATCTGACATCCTCTTCTGGCCTCTGCAGGCACCTGCACACAGACAAGCAGGCACATGAACATATATCTAAATAAATTTTTTAAAACTTACTACAACAAAAATATCTTAGAAGGCTGGGCAAACAGTTCAGTAGGTAAAAGCATTTGCTGTTCAAGCCTGACAATCTGAGTTTGGATCCATGGAATCCATGTAAAATCCCTGTGAAAGGAGGACCTTGTGGCAGATGTCTGAACCCCAGAACTCCTATGAAGAGATGGGAGGAACAGACAGGAGACTCTTCTGAACACTCTCATGCAAGGCAGCTTGGGGTATGCAGCACATCAGCAAACAACAAGGCAAGGACAGAAAATCTAAGGTTGTCTTTCGACTTCCACATGGGCACTATGGCTCACACATGCCCTTACAAGCAATCATGCACACATGTACACAATATACAACTATATTTCTTAATTCTCTTAAAAATTTGTGTATCTGTACACACAAGAGTGTGTCTGCGAATGCCTGCAGAGGCCAGAACAGGGTGCTGGATCCCCTGAAGCTGGCTGAAAGCACACAACCCCTAGACCATCTCTCCACCTCCTAAATAAATACTTTAGAAAATATATCTTAGAGGGGCCTTGGGTGTAGTACATACCCATAATCCCAGCACTTATAAGGCTAATGCAGGATAGAGTTCAAGATTGGTCTGGCCAATTTAGCCAGTACTTTAGGGTTCCCCAAATCAATTTTTAGGAACAAGATAAAGAAGCTAAGCTGGGCTGGGGTAGGAGGACCACAATGAATTTGAGGGTTTGAGGTCTCAGTCAGTCTTAGCTAAAAGTGAAAACAAACACTGATCTAGGACCACATCACCTCAAAGTTTGTTGAGAATCAGAACCTGCACTTGGGCAGGATCTTCAGATGACTTGCTAAGTACTGTTCCGTTTCTGAAACACCAGGCTAGTAAGTAGCCCCTTAGGCAGGAACAATTACAATGGTTTTGACCATAACACTGCATGCCTAACACATCAAGCACACACAAAGACAGTTATGGCCTTTGCAAAAGACACCTGAAAAAGCTTACACTTTGTAGCAAGTTTTGAATGGCTAATTACAGAATGTCACCGCTGAAGGAGAATCCCCAGAAAGAACAAGTTCCCTTAGAAAAGATTCAAGATTCACTGGGGCATACTAAAAATAGCACTGCATACTCCAATTTTTCTTTCGAGTTACAAGAGAGGAAGGGAATAAAGAAAGACACTATCAAGGGGAATTACAGCTGGAAGGAAATACATAATTCAGTCTGTTTCCTATGACAGGAGGGCCAGAAGTGAGGCAGTATTCCCCAGAGGTGGTGAGGCACACCTGTATGTCTAAGATTTCTTCCACTCCCCATGCGTCTGTGAGGAACTTTAAGAGACAGTTTCTCCATGGAACATATTAATATAACACAAGGCACCAAAGTTCGCTTTCATAAGCTGTTTCTAAAATTTGTTTGTATGACTCTCACCCTAAAGATTTTTCTGCCAGTCACATCAAGCATTCCTATACTTGATCTTAGCCAAAGGCAGAGAAGTGTTATATTTCATTCCTCTACTGTTACATGATGATCAAGTAACAGACCATATTAAGAGAGTATTGTGCTGGGCATCATGGCCAATGCCTATAATCCCAGTACTTGGAAGAGCTGAGACAGGAGGATCAAACTGTGTCCTAGGCCAGCCTGGCACCAAACCAGGCATTCTGATCCACACTTCTAACCCCAGCACTGAGACTGAGGCAGGTGGTTGGCAAGTCTGAGGCCAGCCTGAGCTACATACAGGAAGACTTTGCCTCAAAAATAAACTACTACTGCAAAATGTGACCAAGCATTTGGCACGTTGGTCTTTAAATGGATGGTAAGACACAAACAGAATCTATGAACTTACTGGGGATAGGGGACAATCAGTAAAGGTCTGAGGGATTGGCTCAGATAAGGCCCCAAAGGCAGAGACGAATGAAGTATGGCACAGATTTTAGTACTGGTAGGTCTTTTTAAGATCTCTTTTTCTCCTAGACATTGTGTCAGTATTTTATAACCCACGGAATAGGTACTATTATTCCACCTTCCCACAATTTTTTGCAGTGCTGGGGTCCAAACTCCATTTTACAGATGAGGAAACTGAGGTACAGAGAAAGTAACTTATCCAGTTAGTAATATAGAAAAGCTGGGAAGTCTGATTTGGTTTAGAGTGCTGCCTCCATAACGTGCAAGAATAACTCGACCAACAACTTAAAGTCATCCAAAAGCTGCTGTTTTCTTAACTTCTGGCACTACCTGCTGTTTTTGTTTTCTTTTGGCTTCCTTCCACTGACCTTTCATTCTGCTAGGGGCTGGGGAAACCACAGTACTGTGAGATGTGTCAAAACAGAGGTCCGTGCAAGGCTGCCCACAGGAAGGCGTGGTTATCGCTTGTGGGGAAGAAAATTTTAACTTAGAAGGGGAGAAAACACGAGAAGTGGTGGCCTGGACCTCTTTTAACCAAGCGACCATGCACACAGCAGGATCTGAGAACCGTCTGCAGGTGCACCTCTCCACCTCCCTCGGCGTCTCTGCCCCTGCAGTTCGCAGTGAGGGCTCATCTGCCAGGCACCGGCAAGGTTCCGCTGAATTTTACTATAAACATCACATTGAGGCTAACCTAATTAAGCATAAAGAAAAGGCTTCGCACAGGTCTTGGGCATGCGCCCCTGCTACCCACGACTGCTTTAGGACGACGGCTGACAGAAACTTCGCTTTCCACTCGGCTGCGTCCTCGGCGCCCGGATCCCAGCGGCCCAAAAGGGCCGACCACCCCCGACCCCCGTGGACAAGGTCGCCGCGCACAGTTGCGCGGCCTCCAGATGTGCGACGTCGCGCTCTCCGCAGGCCTCCCGGCCCGCCCCGCCACACGCCCTCCCGGCAGGCCCCGCCCGCTGGGCAAGATGGAGAAGAAGGCACGAGGCGCCCCCACCCTGCCAGCCTTTGTGCCCTCCCGGACGCTGGCCTGGCACACCGCCCCACACGGGGCGCAAGGGCCCGGGCGTGCGGGGGCAGCCGAGTCCCAGGTCCCGGAGTCCCGACACGCGCGCCGGTCACGGCCTAGTTACCTCGCTCCGAGCCCTCGCAAGTCGCGAGCGGCCAAGACCGCCGGGCTGGGGTCCCAAACCGCGACCGACTGCAGCGCTCCCGCCCTCACCCGCACGCTGGGGGGGGAGCCGGCACTGGCCACGCCCTCCGCCCCTCCCCTGCCGGCGTAGTCAATCCGAGCCCACGGCGAGGAGCGTCCACCAGTCCGCAGCGCGCTTCTCCCCTAAGAGCCCGCCTCTCGAGTGGTTCTGGCCTATGGGGCTGCGCCTTCTTTTGCTCTCCCTGGCCTCAGGCGCTCTTGCTCAGGCTCCGCGGGCGGGCGGGGGCCGCGGTTGGGCAGCTCCAAGATCCGGGTGCCCCTGTGCATGGCGCTCTTCTCTAGTCCGCTCGGCCTGCGCACGGTGCGCTCCGTCATGCGTTGGTGGCGACGCGCTTGCGGCTGCCGGAAGAGAGGCCCAGGCCTTGCTGCGCTTGTTTACGTGCGCGTGGAAAGGAGGCCTGGCCGAAGGGGAGCGGGCGGTGGGACTGGGGCGAGGATGGCGCGTGGGTCCCGTGTCCCGCTCTGCGGCCTCGCCACCCTTGGCCCAGCCCTGAAGCACAGAACCTTTGCGGTTAGGAAGGACTTGGGTTTTTCATAATTTAGGGATCACAAAGATTTTAAAGATTTATTCGCTTTATGTGTATGCGTGTTTTGCCTGCGTGTATATATGTGCACCACAGGCATACCTGGTCCCCGCAGACAGAAGAGGACATCATATCCCCCAGAACTGGAGTTATGGACGGTTGTGAGTCACCAGGTGAGTCCTAAGAACCGAGCTCAGGCCGTCTGCAAGAGCAGTCTATTTCCAGCATTCAGAAGGCAGAGGCAGGTGGATCTCTTGAGTTCTAGGTTAGCCAGGGCTACATAATGAGACCCTGTCTCAACACCACAAAAATAAATAAAGCAGGGCGTGGTGGTGCATGTCTAATCCAGCGCTAGGGAGGCAGAAGCAGGTGGATCTCTGTGAGTTTACCTGTTCTACATAGGGAGTTCTAGGACAGCCAGGGTGACATAGTGAGACCCTGTCCAAAAAATAAAACAAAGACCTAAAAGAAAGAAAAAGGTCCTGTGAGGTGGCTCAGCAGGTGAATGTGCTTGAGCCTCCCCAGAATGCTCAACCAAATGTGTTCTGTTCCCTCTCTGCAGTACCCTATTTGCCCATGTTCTTTCTGTTTTCTACCTGGTATAGTTGCCTCCTTTTTATTGACACAGCGGTCTCCTCGTAGTCCCAGCTGTCCTGAGATTAAAGGTTTATGTTTTCCTCTTTTATGGATCCTAGGCTGGAACCACTCTGTAGCTGTCTTAGTTTGTTCTTCATTGCTGTGACAAAACACTCTGACCAATACCAACTTGGGGAGGAAAGGGTTTATTCAGCTTACATCTCTCTGGAAGCAGTTCATCCGGGAGCCCAAGGTATGAACTCAGGGCAGGAACCTTGAGGCAGGAGCTGGACACAGGCCATGGAGGATCACTGCTTACTGGATCACTCTCCTGGCCTCTGCTCAGCCTGCTTTCTTATGCAACACAGGCCCACCTGCCAAGGGTGGCACCACCCACAGTGGGCTGGGCCCTCCCACATCACTCAACAATCAAGAAGGTGCCCCAGTGGACATGGCCACAGGCCAGTCCAATGAAGGAAATTCCCCAATTGAGGCTCCCTCAACCCAGATGTGTCAGGTTGACACTAAAGCTATCCAGCACAGTAGCCAAGGATGACCTTGAATTTCTCCTCCTGTCTCTGTGTCCCTGGTACTGGGATTAGAGGCATGTGTCCTTATGCTTGGTTGATGTGCTGGTGGGGATTGAACCCAGGGCTTCATGCATACAAGGCAAGCACTCAATCAGTGAGCTACCGCACCAGATCCTCATTTTTGTTTTTACAAGTGTGGAAGAGACTTTGTCTTTGTGAGGCTTTACTTCTTTTTCAATCCCTTGGCATGAGGAGAACCTATTACAGTTTCATAGGTTTTTTAAAAATGAAGTTAATGAGTTGATTTTCTGAATCCTTTATACATTAGCATGGAGAAAGTTCATTATCAATATTTATACATGATCAAAACCAAACAAGATTTTTGTTACTATAAACAGTAAATTGCAGTTTCTAGTGAGACATTCATTCCTCTGCTGTATTCATCTTGATCTCTTATTTTCTACTTTGTTCATTGATACATTCTGACTATATGCACAAATAATCTTTTGCATTATCTTCCAAGTCTTTGAGACAGGGTCTCCTTGTAGCCCCAGCTAGCCTGGAACTCACTGTATCGACCTTGAACTCACAGCTGCCTGCCTCTGCCTGCCTCCCCAGGACTGGGATTAAAGGTGTGCGCCATCACACATGGCCATCTTCCAAGTCTTAAAGCTTTTTAAAAAAATTTATTGCATTTATTTTATAATTTTTAATTTTTTTATTTTTATTTTATGTGTATGAGTGTATTACCGACATGTATGTGAGTGCACCCATGTTGTGCAATGCTGCAGAGATCCTGCCAAGGTGGCACCACCCACAGTGGGCTGGGCCCTCCCACATCACTCAACAATCAAGAAGGTGCCCCAGTGGACATGGCCACAGGCCAGTCCAATGAAGGAAATTCCCCAATTGAGGCTCCCTCAACCCAGATGTGTCAGGTTGACACTAAAGCTATCCAGCACAGTAGCCAAGGATGACCTTGAATTTCTCCTCCTGTCTCTGTGTCCCTGGTACTGGGATTAGAGGCATGTGTCCTTATGCTTGGTTGATGTGCTGGTGGGGATTGAACCCAGGGCTTCATGCATACAAGGCAAGCACTCAATCAGTGAGCTACCGCACCAGATCCTCATTTTTGTTTTTACAAGTGTGGAAGAGACTTTGTCTTTGTGAGGCTTTACTTCTTTTTCAATCCCTTGGCATGAGGAGAACCTATTACAGTTTCATAGGTTTTTTAAAAATGAAGTTAATGAGTTGATTTTCTGAATCCTTTATACATTAGCATGGAGAAAGTTCATTATCAATATTTATACATGATCAAAACCAAACAAGATTTTTGTTACTATAAACAGTAAATTGCAGTTTCTAGTGAGACATTCATTCCTCTGCTGTATTCATCTTGATCTCTTATTTTCTACTTTGTTCATTGATACATTCTGACTATATGCACAAATAATCTTTTGCATTATCTTCCAAGTCTTTGAGACAGGGTCTCCTTGTAGCCCCAGCTAGCCTGGAACTCACTGTATCGACCTTGAACTCACAGCTGCCTGCCTCTGCCTGCCTCCCCAGGACTGGGATTAAAGGTGTGCGCCATCACACATGGCCATCTTCCAAGTCTTAAAGCTTTTTAAAAAAATTTATTGCATTTATTTTATAATTTTTAATTTTTTTATTTTTATTTTATGTGTATGAGTGTATTACCGACATGTATGTGAGTGCACCCATGTTGTGCAATGCTGCAGAGATCAGAAGAGGGTTTTGGATTCCCCTGGAACTGGGGTTAAGGACAGTTTGTAGTCACCATGTGGGTGCTGGGCGAACCCACGTCCTCTGCAAGAGCATTTATTTTTATCATTGTTTGAGACAAGGGTCTCACTGTGTGGCACACACTGGTCTAGAAATGGCAGAAACCTAGGGAGGTCACCAGCAAGACACTCAGCTTTAGCTAAAGCCATGCTGTCCCAATCCCTTGATTAGGGTGCCTGTCTGTACCTTTGGTGCTGCCATGAAAGAATATTTGCAACTTTTCTGTGAAAACTTTCATCATTTAACATCAAGTTTTGGTTGGGGTGTGGCGTCATACATGTGTGATCCCAGCTCTTGGGAGGTGGAGGCAGACACATCAGTTTGAAACCAGCCTTTGCTACATGTGACCTTGCCTCAAAATAATACTGACAAAAGATTCAAGTTTTAGGAAGTCATTTACCTGGCCTAGTCTAGGTTATATGCCTGTGTTCTAACTGCCAATAGGCAAGGAGAGTTCTGCTTCTTACTCTGCCGTCTACTCAGCCCATTGGCTTTTAGTGTGGGAAGGAGGGGCCCAACCTTAATAAGATTGACTGTAGGGGGCTCTCTTCAAATTAGTCATGCTGGATAGCCCAAAGTAACTCCACTACCATCTGTTCCTTAGTCTGCCCAACATTCATAGACACAACTTTATCTCATGTTTTCAATTTTAAATAAAAGTATCCTATGCAATATAATGCAACTGTCTCTCCTACAGCAGCAAAAATGCACTACATTTCCTCAAAGGAGGCCATCTCAAACTCATTATTAATATTTGGCCCTACATACAATTTCTGTAGTTGGCTGTGATAGTTAATATTTTTAAAATATTTATTTATCTTTTTTTTAAATGTGCCTGCATATATTAAGTGCACTCATGTCATGCAATGCCCACAGAGGTCAGAAGAGGGTATCGGATCCCCTGGAACTGGAGTTATGGACAGTTGTTATCCACCATGTGGGTGCTGGGAACCCTACCTGGGTCTTTTTCAAGAGCAGCCTTAAACTCTGAGCTGTCTCTCTAGTTCCAGGTGATAGTTAATATTGATTGACAGGATCTGTGATTATCTAAGATTGGGTTAATTCAAGTAGGAAGACCTACCTTAATTGTGTGGTTTTATACCATGAGTTGGGGTCCTCTCTTTTTTCTGACTGTACATGTGATGTGACCAGCTGCATCACGTTCTTGCTGTATTTGATGGCATGAAGGAGTGCCCTCAAACTAAAGCAAAGTAATCCTTTCCTTAAGTTGTTGTCATCAGGTACTTTGTCACCGGGATGAAAAAGGAAACCAATACAGTCATAATCTGCAGTGATGCTTAAAAAAGACTGCATGACTCTTAGCATCCATTTTAAGGCCAAGAGTGGATTTGAACTGCTGAGAGCCTGTCTTTCAGATTCTCTTGGAACTATGCTTCCCAACAAGGGCTCCTCATTCTTTTCTTGAAACAGTATATCCAGCATAAAACGGGGAAGGAAAAGTCAGATTCATTTTTTTTTAAATCAACTGGTTAAGTCAATTTATGCAATAGCTGACTTAGGCATCTGAAATGGTGACTTCCACCTCTACCTCTGGCTCAATACTGATGGAAATAACCTGCTTAATCTCAGAAGGACTGTGCAGGTCAATGAGTCACTTGTGGAGTCTCATATGAAACCGTCCATGTCTTGGAACCTTCACCACAAGGTGTTTTTCTTGTATGATTCTCCATATCTTGGTGGGCATGTGAACAGGGCCTTTCACTTTTAAGTTCTTTTCCTTTGTGCCTCTGATTCCTTCTCCAGAGACTTCATACTGAGGCTGGTCAGGGTGATTGGAATTCAGTGACTTGCCACCTCCCTCTCCCTGGAGGGCAGGAGCCCACAGTAGTGAGTCAGATCAGGACCATATGATGCTCCTGAGCACCTACAGCCACGTCTCAGAAAGGAAAAGTCAGATTCTTATCAGAGAATTTTGCCCTTTTTGATCCATAGACCTAGACGAATACATACATTGCAGTCATAAACACGTAGCAGTTTCTGTTTGTAATGGGATAAGCACCATGCTTGATAGGTTAACAAACACATGTACATTCATGCATTATCTCAAGTTGAGGGCAAAGAGTAATGAGGGATGAAGTCCATATGATCAGGTCACAAGGGGAGGACATGGCTCAGCATGTCCACATTAAGAAAAGGTCACTTTTTGGTTACAAGGTTAGGTAAAAGTCATTTTTACCTAAACGTACGTACATATTGTAAGAGTCATTCTTACAGCAGTCCATTCTTCCTCCAAGTATAATATCATCCTGTCTTGTGTTTTGTGTAGATTAAAATTTAAAGTTAACCAGCACTTTATTTTGGTGCCCGGAGCGGGGATGATTGAACCCAGTGCCTTAACATGGTAATCATATAGTCTATAGTGAGCTGTGCCTGTGGGACCCTTTGTCCTGCTCAGCTGAGATGTTTGGAGATTTGTTCTGTAGCAGTAGATGACATCACTAAGTAAATGTTATCTATGTCACAGTTTCCACCTTTTCCAGAACTGCGTCTTTTTCCTCACTGAGGGATAGTCTGGCTAGTCACTGCTATTGGCACCATGGCCACTGGCCTCTAGATGCTGCCATTTGATGCTGCGGAAGTAAATGTCAGCTTTGTTAACTCTGAATCTCTGATCATCATGTGCTCAAGATGCAGCTTCCAGAGTATGGACTCGGAAAGTACCTGACCCTCTAAGCTTGGATAGTAGGAATTGTGGTCCTGCCTTCTGCCAAGACTCATGTGATGGGGATTGCTCTCAAATGAGGTTGTACAGACACTAGGAAGATCCATCCAGATGAAAGAATGAATGAATAAATAAGGAAAGAATTTAAGGAGAAATAGAAAGGGAGGGAAGAAAAGAAATGTGTCCTTTAACTCTACCTTTTCCCCCACTGGAGAAAGCACATCTGCCTTAGGAAAGAATAAGGCAGATCAACAGAGTTCCCGACAGTAGCCAAACTATTATCTCTATATTTCCTTCTACTTTCCGTCTGATAGCAATCTCCTGGACTCTTTAAGGCCTTAAGACAGGTGATTTGAATGTTGGGCTGGTCCCTATTTAGTAATTGGCACTCCTGGTCCTCCTCAGATCAGCCCTGCGGGGGTCCTCTCCATTCCACCTCTTTCTCCCCACACTGTGTCCTTGGTGGTGGTGGCAAAGCATTACCTTTCTCCAAGGTCTACAGGTCTTTTCTCCTGTGGCTCTGCCCATAGCTACAGTTTGGGGCACTGGGTCACCCCTGAGCTGCTCTTTGCAAAAGCCGAAGCAAATGTTCTTATTTATTAACTGATTTAAAAAAAAAAAAAAAAAAAAAAAAAACTGTTTCAGGATTTTATGTTGTTTTGACCTGTTTTCAATATTAATTTGGGCTTTGACTTTTTATGGTATATTTAATGGTTTCTAAAACTCTATAATACTCACCTGTTTTTAAAGAGATCTTTTTCTCTGTGGCAGCCTGCCATCCAGTTCTGCCCTGAGTCCTGTACACAGGTTGCTGCAAGGCTTTCTGTCTCCTGAGAAACCTTAAAATGGCTTCCTCTGTGTTTTAGCTCCCCTTCTGTCTGTAGGATCACTCGCTACAACTGTGTTTTCTATTAAGTTCACTGGTGTATTAGTTGCTTTCCTGTTGCTATGATAAAACACCGGAACCAAGAGTTTATTCGAGCTTTTGGTTCCAGAGGAACATCATGGTGGCCAGAGATGGTCGGAGGAGGAGAAAGTTAAGCATTCATCTTCAGCAGATACAGGAAGTAGAGACCTATTGGAGATCCTGCAAGGCTTAAGAACTCTCTAAGCCCACCCCCAAGTGACATGCTTCCTCCAGCAAGACCACACCTCCTAAATCCTGCCAAAACAGCGCCACCAACTGGAGACAAATGTCCAAATATTTGGAGCCCTCGGAAGAGTCTCATTAAAACCACCACACCCGGGAACCTACAAAGTCCCAATTTGTATACAGGTAATATTAGTTTGTAATTTGAATTACATGTTCATTTAGTAAAATAATGCTACACAGCACTCACTTCTGAGCCAAACAACTGCCCCCTTCATGACTTCAGCTGAGTCTGCTTCCAAAAGATCAACCAGATATAGATAGCACAGTGGTGTCTTTTAAGAGAGGGCTCAAAGCTCATGCTGCAAAAAATGGAAGTCTCTTCTTATACTTTGAGGATGGGGGCTAGGAGTGTGTTTCACAGTCCAAGCCTGCAGCCAGGCTCTTTGATTCTCAGGCAGGAGCCATGGAAGGCAGTGGGGAGCAGGATGTATGGCCACTGAAACCCCTTTGATATAAACTACTTCAAGTGAGAGATCCTGGTCCTGGGAAAGTCTGTTAGCTAGGAACTCACAATGTCTCAGTGTGGTGTCCGTCCGTATCTGTAAGAGAGAAAAGGCTGCTGTACATATTGTGGCTTGAGCTGTGGCTGGATGCTTACAGAGGCTCCTGAGGAACAACACCTTCTTGAGGCCGACTCCTGTCTTCTCTATGGGTATGCATAGACATAAACATAGACATAGACACATACACACACGAATGCCATCATGAAATCCATGTAGTAGACATTAAATATCAAACTTCTGTCAAACACTATAAAACTTTGGTTTAGAATAGGGACTCCAAATCTTTTAATTCCATTTACCCTGTAAAATTTTGTTTATGCTAAAGGACTGTTGCATTTTGGGAACCTAATGGCCTGGGGCAGCTGAGCCTTTTTCCCTTTTGACCAACCCCCTTCTCCCTTCTTTATTTCCTTTGCACCCATTCTTTTAAGACTGTGAGGTCAGAACCCAGCCAATGAGAAAATGACACAGTACTCTTGCGTTAGGAATAAAGACCTATCAAACAGGTTGGGCATGGTGACCCACCCCTTCGATCCCAGCACTCAGGAGGCAGAAGTGGGCAGATCTCTGTGAATTCGAGGCCAGTGTGGTCTATATAGTGAGTTCCAGGCCAGCTGGGGCTACAGGGAGACCCTGTCTCAAAAAACCAAACCAACCAACTAAGCAACTATCAAACTTCCAGTGTGGAGTGCTTGCTTAATCTGAATGACAACCCAAAATTATGAAACAAAAGCTGCCATGCTGAGCTGCTTTTGTTTGCATGTTCTTTGCGAGTATTGGTGGGGTCCCTGGACCTCAGATTTTATTTCTAACATGCATTAAAAACAATATTAACTGGGGCTGGAAAGATGACTCAGAGGTTAAGAGTCCTGGCTGCTATTGCAGAGGACCCAGGTTCGATTCCCAGCACCCACATGGTGGCTAACAACCATCTGTGACTCCAGTTCCAGGGGATCCAACATCCTCTTCTGGCCTCTGCAGGCTTTCCATGACACAAGTGCCCTTACATTCATGCAGGCAATACACTCAGACACATAAAATAAAAAATAATAAATATATCTTAAAAATACACAAAAATAATATTTTTAAAAATATTAACCATTGCACTAGGGCATGGTGGCTCATGCCTATAATATCAGCATTCTGAGAGTATGAGAGAGGACTGCCATAGTTGGAGCCCAACCTGAACCATATAGTAAGTTCCAGGCCAGTCAGGGTTACAGAGTGAGATCCTGTCTCGAAATTAACCATCTTAAGTCTATCCTTTGTCAACTTGACATCCCAATATATCACTTTAAACTACACTATTCCAACACTATTCCCCCCAAAAGTTCATTTCCATCCCATAATGTAAAATCCATTCAGCTCATCCCCATGAGCCCCAGTAGTCTTTAACAATTCCCACATTGCTCAAAATTGCATTTGTGTCTTTAATAATAGATAGATAGAGATAGGTAGATAGATTTCTTGAAGATGGATTTACAGGACGGACTGAAAAATACAAGCATTGTAAGGCTTTTGATTGATGGCCTAAATGATTCCTGAGTGGACTGTGTCTTCCAGATTTGGCTTTTAAGCCTAGAACCCTCTCAAGAGCTCGGAAGATCTGGAGTTCAAGAAAAGCTAAGATAATAAACAAATATAAATAAATAAAACTAGAGCCTTCAGACTTAGGAACCTGTCATAAGCTATTTAATATTTCATATGAAGCTGGTGTGATGACACTCACCTGTGATCCCAGCATTTGGGAGGGAGAGGCAGGAGGATTGGGACTTCAAGACCAGCCTCAGCTGCATAGTGAGTTCAAGGCTAACCTGAGCTATAACGAAGCCCTGTCTCAAAAATCCACATACCCATGGGAGATGACGTAGGTAGTGGTGCTTTCTGCCAAGCACCTGAGTTTCATCTCTGCGACCCACATGATAGAATCTGAGAACTGATTCCTGAAAGTTGTCCTCTCTCTGGCCTCCACGTGCACGAGATAAACATAATTAAAGAAATGAAAAATACACCAAATAAAACAATATGAGATATAAGGAAGGGCCAAAGACAGGTTCATGGCAGTGGAGAAGGGGATTCCATGTCCTCCAGGAGATGTCAAGAAACCATTGCTACGTGGGGGTGAGAGGGGCAACAATCAAGATCCCTTTAGTTATTTCCCATATGAAAATCAAAGTAGATGGAAAAATCCTATTAATTAAAAGGCTGTGTGTTTGGAAGAAAGAGCCTGTTTTACAGATATAATTGACCTTACACAGGCCAGAAGATGTCTCAGCAGGTAGAGGTACTTACTGCTGAGACTGACCACCTGAGTTCAATCCCTGGGACTAACAGTGGAAGGAGAGAACCAACTCTGTTGACCTCTGACCTCCTCACCCATGCTGTGGCTCGTATGCACCCCCATACAAAAAATGTAATTAAAGAATTAGGGCTGGAGAGATGGCTCAGCGGTTAAGAACACTGGCTGTTCTTGCAGAAGACCTGGGTTCGAATCCCAGCACCCACATGGCAGCTGTCTGTAACTCCAGTTCCGGGGGATCTGATAGCCTCTTCTGTCCTCTGTGGGCATTGCATGACACGAGTGCACTTACCTACATGCAGGAAATACACGCATACACATAAAAGTAATAAAATATTAAAAAAAAATTTTAAAGTTAAAAAAAATTTAAAAATAAAGAATTGCTCTCATCTAAATTGCAACTTTCCCAATAATCAGACATGTGGCCTGTTGCTGAAACTCTGAGCCCATAGGACTAAATTTCCTTATTTGGGAAATGAGGATAATAACATTTGTCTCCCAGGTTACAGTGAGGATTAAGTTGAAAATATGTCTAAAAAAATGAAAAAAGATAATAAAAGATGTACAGATTTGGGCTGGGGTGAGTGGATACCCGCAGTCCAAGCACCAGGGAGGCTGACACTGCAGGGTTGCTGAGGGATTGAGGCCAGTCTGGGCTATATAGCAAGACCCTATCTAAAAACAACAAACCAACCAAAAAGCCCCACATTGTATTCTGGGTCAGTTGTTTTTCAGTTGCAAGAGATCCCATGAAATAGACTTCAGCTTGGCATGATTTTTTTTTTTTAATTATTTTTTTTAAAAAAAGACCTGAAAGTCTAAAGGAGCAGGGAACCGGTGAATAGGCCCACACAAGACTCTGTGGTACAGTTTTACAGTGTGACCACAAGATGGAGTCAATTATCCTTTTCTGTCTGAGAAATTTTAATGAACTTTGGGTATACAGATATATATGCTAGGCATGCAAATTGGTCAATAATTTTTAAATGATAACCATAAATTTATTTTAAAACAATTCTTTGGACACCAGGCGTGGTGGTGCCTGCCTTTAATCCCAGTACTTGGGAGGCAGAGGCAGGCGGATCTCTGTGAGAGAGAAGCCAACCTGGTCTACACAGTGAGTTACAGGCAGACTGGGACTTGGGAGAGCCTGTTTTTTTTTAAAAAAAATGGTATGCGTAAATTTTACGATTTAATACAAATGAAAGTGAATTTGCATACTAATGAGATGGATGTGCACATACCTGTATTTCCAGCACTGGGGACCCTGACGCAGGAGGATAGGGTATTCACAGCCAGACTGGGTTACAGGAGAACTTGTTTGAAGCAATAAAAAAGCTGTGGGCTGGAGGACAGTTTGTATTTCCACCAATGCAGAGTTTTAGCCTGTGGCCTGATCAGGAAAGTTTCTCTCTAGAACAGTGTATATAGAAGTCAGAGCCTCCAATATCTCCTGTATACCAATGTCACATCGTCTGCAAAACTGGGTTCGCTAGGGGCCAGAAGCACACTTCTATTTCAGAAAGTGTACTTAGTAGGAAGAAAGAGTTGCTGTCTTTAATTGATGCTTGCAATGTAGTAGGACTTGCAAGATTTTCTGGGACCAGGAAGCTCTTCCAAACATCCTATTTTAAAAATTGAAGACATTGATACATTTTAGAAGGACAAAGTTGGCTGGAGACCCAGATCTCTACCCTATTAACTATCAGCATTATTAATTTAACTGTAAGTTGAATAACGAAGACTTGTGTATTTTCCTAGCAGCCACTTGAGTGGGATTTTTATTTTATTTATTCACTTCCTTATCGAGGCAGGCTCTCACTATGTAGTTCAAACTGGCCTGGAACTGCAGATCCTCCTGCCTCAGCCTCCTGTGTGCTAGGATTACAGTCATACTCCATGAGAAATTTTAGTCTTAAATCATATCTCTTCATCTGGGGACAGTTAGTCATTCTTCCTCTTCATCCACAGTAAGCTCGGCATGCCCCGTTATTTTTCAGGTTAGTTTTCAGTAAGAAGAGGCTATTACTTTAAACCACACACATAATCTCAATATAGCACTTACAAGTATTGGTCCTAACTAATACATCCAAATGTCTTTTGCTATTGTTGTTCTCTGGTAGACCAGCTGACCTGGAAATTGCTATGTAAACCAGGCTGGCCTTGATATCCCAGAGAGCCACCTGCCTTTGCCACCTGAAAGCTGGGGTTAACCACACTCAGCCCCAAAGTTCTTTTAAGATTCCTCTCCCCATGAGAGCCTGCTATGGGATGTGGGGTATGGAAGAAGGTATAATCTCCTCTGCCCCCTGCTGCAGCCTATCCCACTCCATTTCAGTGTTCTAATCTGACTTTTAGCCCCCCATGATTGTAGCCTGAGGAAGTAGGAGTGAGAGGGGTCCAGGAGCAGCTTTACTGAGTAGTGCCACAGTAAGATGATGACATGTTCTCTGTGCCTGGAGATGGTCAAAGTCAGTTTTCTCCTGGAGCTCTCTTTTGAGAACCCTGATACTGGCACCCCTTGATCTGTACTCCAGCTGTTTCTTTAATGACTCCACAGAACTTCCATCCATTCCGACCTCTTTTCGGCTGGGACGACATTGCTCAATGATAGCCCTGTGGGTGGTTTGCTAAAACAACTCCACTGGCTCCAGCTCTGCCCCTGCCCTTCCCAATGTGGTTTGAATTGCTGATCTGAGAGCCTGGGAATGCAGGACCATCTATGTGACAGCAACTCTTTCTTCCCAACCCTTGCCTTTGAATGAATTCCCTGAGTAGGGGCAGGATACTTACCTGCTTGGTGCTTAGAACTGTAGTAGACACCTCAAGTTTCTCAAGGGTTCTGGCTCTCCTTTAAAAGGAAAATTCCAGGGGCTGGTGAGATGGCTCAGAGGTAAAAGTGTTTGTTACTAAGCCTGACAACTTGAGTTCAATTCCTGGGACCGTAGGGTAGGAGAGAATCAACTCCTACAAGTTATCCTCTGACCTACTGGTTCTCCATGGCATGCGCACACTCTCCCCTTCCCACATCAATAGAAAAATTTTTGTTTTTCTTTGTCTTTTTGAGACAGGGTCTCTCTGTAGCCCCATCTGGCCTGTAACTCACTATGTAGACCAGGCTGGCCTCAAACTCACAGAGATCTGCCTGCCTCTGCCTCCCCAGTGCTAGGATTAAAGGTGTGCACCACCACACCTGGATAACAGATAAAAGTTTAAAATTTTTAAGGTTTTTATTATTTGTATTTTATGTGTCTGAGTGTATTGCCTTCATGTATGTTAATTGCACCTGTGTCATGCAGTGCCTGAGAAGGTCAGAGGAAGGTGTCGGATTCCCCAGAACTGGAATTAAGGACAGTTGTTAGCAGCCTTGTGGGTGCCTGAAATTGAATATGGGTCCTCTGCAAGAACAGTCAGTGCTCTTAACCACTGGGCCATCTCTACAGTCCCAGTAGATATAATTTAAAAAAATTTTTTAAAGAAAATTCCAGCCAGGGGTTGCAAATGGCACACATTAGTAATGCTGGCATAGGGAAACTGAGACAGGAGGATTGAAAGTTTGAGGCTAGCCTGGGCTACATAGAAAGGCCCTATCTTTTTTTTTAAAACTCAGAATATTTTTAGTAATGCACATTTAAAAAAAGTACTCATCTTACAAATTGTTCCTTCATTTGCAGGACATCAAGGGCTCCAGACATCATGTTAAGTTTCCCTTTAAGTCACAACAGGAATCAAGAACAATGCCATATGGACCCCTCCCTGGGCAGCACACAAAGGCTGAAAGGCCCTATCTTTTAAAAAGTGAGAAAAAAAGCTGGGTGTGGTGTCGCATGCCTCTAATCTCAGTGTTGGGAGCTATTAGTATAAGCACAGCCATTATGTATATTGAGCTGTGGTAGGCTTGCTTGTTTGTTTTATGATCTTTCGCCTTGACTCAAGAGTTTGTGTGTTTTGCACACCAGTACCGAATTGTTCTGCCAAGTCAAGAGGAATGTGTTGATTATTTAGGGAAGATGGTTAAATGGTGGAATTCACAACAAGTATTTGACCGTTCCTTGACCCTCAGATAAAGGTGGGAAAAAACGGCTGTTGAAGCTAATTCAGCTAAGCAAACGTGGCTGTCTGATGTTCTACTGTATAAAAAGGCTGAGCTAAAATAAACCTCAGCTGCAGTCTCTACTGACGGTCCTCCCAAGGATCTTTTCTCTGTCTCTTTGTTTTCCTTTCATCCTCACTCCCCCTTTCAGGTGCTGTTCATCTTGGTCAGCTGGCTCTGGCAGGTGGCGCCCAAACAGGGACCTGAAAAGTAGGGGAAAAAGTGAAGGATACCGCTGGAGAAGTTGATGAGTGCACTTGGTACGATTGGGGAGCGGTGAGTATTTATCTTGGGAGAAGATGGGGCAAGGAAACAGTCACTTGTTCTTTGTACATATGTTAAAGAATATGCTTTGGGCAAAAGTGGAACGTAAGCAACTTGTAAATTTTTTAGACTTTGTAGAAAGGTTTGTCCTTGGTTTCCTGAACAAGGTACAGTGAGTTTAAATGTGTGGCTACAGGTTGGAGAGAATATGCAGGGTTACTATGACATGGAGGGTCCTTCCAAAGTTGCCATAGATGCTTTTACATTGTGAGCCTTGGTCACAAGTCAGGTGGAAGGATCCTTTACCTGGACAATGGAATGACCCCGACCCTGTATTGATATGGGGAAGAAGGCATGTTTGTGTTTTTCTGCAGGATGCGGATGGAGCCAGGTGGCTGCCAGAAAGGCTGGTGAGGTTCACCGGACGAGCACCAAAGAAAAAGAAGTGGAAAAGAATGATGAGGAGACAGACGTGGCTGATGATGATGTTCCTGCAAGTGATCTTGGCTGAGTTATACTGGACTTATGTTCCTGATCCACAATATTGCACCTTGTGATATGGGAGGAAAAAGAGATAGTAGTGACTGTGAATGACTCTCGGTTAATCACTCGGCCCGCTTTAAAACACCTGATGATGCAAGTGGTGACGAATTTTAATTATTCGGGATCGGGAAGCGGGTTGCCTATTTGTTTTGTTAAAAATGATAAGTCCAGGTGTGTACAAGTAGATGACTGTGTGCTTGTGGGACGAGGTGGATACTGTACCAATGCCAAAGTGCTACTGCCAAGAGTTAATAGAGGGGAAAATTTCTCCACAAACATTTCCACCCTGTAAGCAGCAGCAGATATTCTAAAAAGGTTGAGAGCCACCTTACCATCGTGGTCCTCTATCATTTCCATTGTGTATGGTTTAACAGGACTTGGCATGCTTTTCCTCCTATGTCCTTGTTTTCTTCCAGGGGTAGTAAAGCTATTTATGAAATCTTTGTGGCAAGTCAAGGCTACTGTGCATCATATGAGATTGCGCTCCCTCCCCTAACAGAGGCTGGTAGTCAAAGACGTAGGTAAGATCTTCTGGGAGAAAGTCAACCTAAGACAGGGCATAGCGAACAGTGGCTGTCTGATGTTCTGCATAAAAAGGTGGAGCTAAAATAAACCGGGGCTGCAGTCTCTACTGACGGTCCTCCCAAGGATCTTTTCTATGTCTCTTGTTTTCCTTTCATCCTCACTCCCCCTTTCAGGTGCTGTTCATCTTGGCCGGCTGGCACTGGCATCTCAGCATTCGGGAGGCAGAGGCAGGCGGACCTCTGTGAGTTCAAGGCCGGCCTGGTCTACATAGTGAGTTCCAGGGCAGCTGGGGCTACAGGGAGACCCTGTCTCAAAAAAAAACAAAAAAAAATTATTATCTTTATTTTATGTGCGTGAGTGTATTGCCTTCATGAATATAAGTGTACCTGTGTCATGCAATGCTTATAGAGGTTAGAAGAGGGTGTCAGATCCCCTGAAACTGGAGTTATAGACAGTTGTTAGCTGCCAAGTGGGTGCTGGGATTCAAACTCAGGTCCTCTGCAAGAGCAGCCAGTGCCCTTAACTGCTGAGCCATCTCTCCAGCCCCCTCCCACCTGCCTCTTTTGTTTTGTTTGTTTGTTTATTTATTTTTTTGACAGGGTTCCCTAGTCCCAGCCTGTCTGGACATCACTGTGGACCAGGCTGGCCTCAATCTCACAGAGATCTGCCTGCTTCTGCCTCCCAAGGGCTGGGATTAAAGGCGTGCTCCACCATACCAGGCATGTGTTTTTTGTTTTGTGTTTTTAATTAACAATTTTTAAAAATTATATTTTACGTCTATGATTGCTATGCCTGCATGTTTGTAAGTGCACTGGTGCTGTGCAGTGCCTGCCAAGGCCAGAAGAAGGTGCTGGATACCCTGGAACTGGAATTACAGACAATCGTTAGCTGCCATGTGGGTGGTGACATTTGAAGCCTGGTCTTCTGCAATAACAGCCAATGCTCTTAACCACTGAGCCATCTCTGTGTTTTTGGTTTTCTGCAACAGTTTCACACTGTCACAAGGTTGGCCTTGAACTCACCCTGTCTCAAAAAGTAAAGTGGAGAGCAGTAGAGGAAGATACACGACATCAACTCTGGCCTCCACACATACATGTACACACATGGATATATATGTGCAGGCACATGTGGAAACATGTTCACACACAACACACAGAAAGAAAGCCTCAACTATCCAAAGATGGGATGATTCTTTTGTTTCTTATTTTTAAAAAATATTTATTATTTTTATTTTATGTGTACAAGTGTATTGATTGCCTGCATGTATATGAGTGCACTGTGTCATGCAGTGCCTCAGAGGTCAGACGAAGTCATCAGATTCCCCTGGACTGAAGTTAAGGATGGTTCTTAGCCACCATGTGGGTACTAGGAATTGAACCCGGGTCCCCTGCAAGATCATTCAGTGCTATTAACCGCTGAGCCATCTCTCCAGCCCCTTGTTTCAATTTTTCTAAGACAAAGTTGCACTATATAACCTAGGCTGGTCTGTACCTTTTGAGCCTCCTCCTTCAGCTTTCCAAGTGCTGGGATTACAGGCATTTGCCACCATCCTGGCTTATTCTGTTTTCCTCTGTGAACTGTTCCACTCAATACAAATACCTGATGGTATTTTCTATTTAATAATGAATAAGGAATGATGTTGGACTGTCATCCTTCTATAGCACTCTATGTATTATATGACATTTGTTTTGTCATGATAAGAAATAATAGACACTGCTAGACATGAGAATCCTCTGCTAGAACACATCACACTACTCATGATTGTTTTGCAAAAACACTGAACCCAAGTCTAAAGGAGCATCTAGTTCCAACAAGCAATTTGTAGAGATTCAAAGGAGAGGAGCAAAGAAAACAAATGACATCACCAGGGAGCCACAAACTGCAAAATGCAGGCTACAAGAAATTCTCTAGACAAATGTCCTCTTGAATTCAACAAATTCAATAAAATTTTTTTAAAGGACTGGTGGAAGCATGTGGACTTCTAGACATAGCAATCAATTGCACATCCTGATTATTATTTCGAGATAGGGTCTTGTATGTAGCCCCAAGCTGACCCTAAACTTGTGATCTCCCTGCCTCAGCCTCTTGGGTGCTGGGATTCTAGGTGTGGACCACTATATTGGACCCCCTTTTAGGGTTGTTTTTGTTTGTTTTGAGCCAGGGTCTCACTCTATACCCCAGGCTGACCTTGAACTCATGGCGATTTTCCTTTCTCAGTCTCTTAACTGCTGGCATTACAGGTGTGAGCCACCACAGGCAGCGACTGAGGGTACTGCCCTAACACCACTTTTTTGGAGGAGCTGGGGACTTAGGACATTGCACACACTAAGCAAGTATGCTACCACCAAGTTGTATCCTATAGAATTTTCTAGGCACATTTAGAATAACATCCTGTTGGAAAGAGACAGTGTAGATTTAATTCATCATTTAGGTAACTAAAAGTGTTCCCTTTAAGTGAAATGCTAATGGTTTTTATTGCTTTTTCCTAAAAAGTCTTACATCGTTACCTGACACGGGCAGTTGGGTTTTAACATCTTCACTTTTTCTTTTTTTAAACATTTTAAATCTTATTTACTTACATCGTTACCTGACACGGGCAGTTGGGTTTTAACATCTTCACTTTTTCGTTTTTTAAACATTTTAAATCTTATTTAGTTATTTATTGTGTGTGTGCATGCGTGTGTGTGTGTGTGTGTGTGTGTGTGTGTGTGTGTGTGTGTAAAAGGGTGGATGCGTGTATGTTAGAGAGTAATTTCTAGAGTCAGTTCTCTCTTTCCACAGTGGGTTTCAGGATCAAACTCAGGTCATCAGGCTTGGATGGCATGGAAGCACTTTTACCTGCTGAGCCATCTCCCTGGTTCTCTTTTTTCTTAAAACATTTTTTTTTTTTTTAAGAGTGACTCAGAATCATTGTTCTGCAACCTCAGGCAGTGTCCTGGCTGTAATCCAGCAGAGGCGCCATTTCATTATCCGGTTTAAAGCACCAACTCTGAAGCTCAAAGTTGTTCCTTTCTGGTTGGAGACTCCTGTTTCCTTTCTTGCTACCGTCAGCGTGTCTGCTTCCCCTGCCTGCCAGTGGAGCGGTAATCCGCTCTTTGCTCTCTCCCATTCATCATCACAGCCTAACAGGGCACCCTGCGCACCCTAAGCACTCAAACATTTACTGAAGTAGATCAAAGTTGGGAAGACTGGGTGCCTGCCAGAGGAAACCAAATAATTAAACTTTTAATCATTAACCTTAATTTTAGACACGTCCCTTAAGCTCTTGAGTGTGGTTTGGGAACCCACACCTGAGTTCTAAATCATTGAGGTTGTCAGGAATCCAGCTGCCGAATGGGAATAGGGCTCTCTTATAAGTTAAAATATGTGTTTGCACACATGATTAATTGCTGCTAATTTGTACAGCAGGAAGGGTTAGAGTAGCACATTGAAAAAGGAATCCTATTTCTACATCTATCATGCAGGATCGCTCTCAATCATCTTAAATACTTTATTTTTAATTATGTGATGTCTGTGTGGGTGTGAGCAGATGAGTGCGGGTGCTTTGCCAGCTCTTCACTGCGCTGAGATGAAGGCATCGTACCCTTCCTCAGGGTGGCTGGTGTATTTAATGAGCTCTTGAGCCTGGTTTTCCTGAGAGGATTTTAATACACTCAGGTGCTCATGTGGCCCAGTTTATTTTTTCTAAATTGACAGGGTAGCATCCTATTTGCTTCTAGGAATAAGCTTTGATCAGTCTGTGCCATCTGAATTCTGGACAGATTGTGTTTATGTGCTCACCAAGATGCAGAGTTATCCTGTGTCTGTTTGCAAAATGGAGTCAAAAATAGCTTACAGAATAGAGTTTCTCAGGCAAAATACATGAAAGACCACTGTATCATACACTATGGAGTAACAGAGCAGGGCCCCACCTCATCCCAATACATGTATAAGGGAGTGTTACTGTCAACTCTGGGGATCCCAATGAATCAAATCTGGCCACTCCACACCAAAACCCAAATGACTCAGAAAAGGACAAGTCAGGATGAAGGCAGAGAGGCTGAGCTTTGAGTTAGCATTGGGCATCTGCAGGCCCAAGTGAAAAGTCAGTGCCTTTAGCAAGAACAGCCTCTACGTCCTTGTTACAGGGAGCCTATTGCAAAAATGTATGGATAGAAAAATCCCTGCACCTTAGTTTTTGACACTTAACCACAGGGTGGCCCCCTAGATCTAGTAATTACTCCACTGACCTCCACTTAAAGCATCTTTTGGTATTGCTTCTCAGCCTTTTGGCTAAGATCAAGTGTAAAACATCTTTTGGAGAGGTTCTAAGCCATTTTTTTCTGAAAGATAAAAGTGAATTTAGCTCTAAGTCAGTCTCAGTCTCTCTCTCTCTCTCTCTCTCTCTCTCTCTCTCTCTCTCTCTCTTTCTTTCTCTCTCTCTCTTTTTTTTTTTTTATGTGTGTGGTACACTGTCTCGGTCTGGCTGCGG